GAAGGATCTATCTGAGATTTTTACCTTTGCAGGCATTATAGTTTGTGTCTGGAATGCCCCCTCAAACTCATGTAGTCATGCAGGGTGGGCTTTTTGGAGGCGGCTGAATCTAGAGTTTGTGATTGAGTCATGGTCCAGTGCTGGGGTTAAGGGTGTGAGTGCTACACCTGCCCTAGGGCAGGTAGCCTGCATTCAATATAAGGAGAGAAAGAGGCTTGTGTCTCTCTCTGCTCCTCTCTTGTTGGTTTTGCTGCCTTCCTCCGCCAAGAACTATTGCCCCTCTGCCATGTGCCACCCTGTCTTGGAGCCAGCGATTATAGACTGAAACCTCTATAAACTATAAATAAACTAAAGCTAAATAAACCTTTGCATCTTTTATTTTGGGTGTCAGGTATTTTGTCTCAGCAATGAGAAAATTACCTAAGACTGCTCCATGAGATCTACAGAGTTCTCCCAGCTTCATTCTATTTGTGAACAGAAATAGATCTTACCCTTTTAAATGTTAGACTTGTGTTAGCATAATATATTTTGCTTTGTTCTGTGATGCTCAGGACTTTGCTTATGCTGTGCAGGTACTGTACACTGAGCTCTGTCTACCCACGTATTTTTCTTCATCAAAGAAAAAAGTTTGGGTTCAAGATCTCATGAGAGAATCTGGTATCAGCATGTATGGCTCCTGAAAAGGTCCCTTCAACTTCTCTTGTCTGTCTGCATACTTCTGTAATTGGCTTTAAGTAGTTGGCATAAAAACAAAAATCAGTTTTAAGTAAAAATTATGTTTTCAGTTTTGTCTGTTTTTAGTATTATAGTAGCATTTTCAACTTTATTTTATTGTGAAAATACCATATTTTATCTTGCTTAGTATTTGCAGATTAGGTAGCAAGTTAACCACTGAGATTTTCTGTCCTACCATGATTATGTTCTATTTTGATTTTTCCAGTTGTTTATGGTTATGTAGGTATCGAATAGAGGCAGGTTCATGTTCAGGGTTATGGGCAGTGCTTTTTGTTATATCCTTTAAGGTTATATTTGAATTTGCAGGACCTTTGAATCGGTCAAAATGGCTTCACATAAGTAAGAACTATTAAATGGGCATTTAGGTAGTGGACCGAGAAATCATTTGTAAAACTCACTTTATCTTAGATTAGTCATTGTGAAGCTGTGCTGTGCTCATGGCACAGTTGGCAAAAGTGACAGTACTTTTTCTGAGGTGTTCAAAGTGAGAGTGTTTGCTGGGAATGATTTCTATAAATGGAAAGAGAATTCTTCACAGACTCAGGATCTAGACCCTGAAGTATATAGTAATATTAGACCAGGAATTCTTGAAGAACAAGAGCCATCTCACATTGGTTTTTATTTTTAGTATAAATCATATAGTTATATAATGAATGTTTTTTGAGTAAATGAGTGAATTATTGGCTTAATTTAGTTTGCATAGTGGAAGGGAGGATGGAGTATTACTAGAAGGTAATTACTAGAAGGTCTGTTACAGGTCTTCATTAAAGTGTGCTTGACCTTGTTAAACTTGTTTTTCTTGCGTGTGATTTTGTCTTAGTCATTTAATTGTATAGTAGAGAATTTTTAAAGACTCGGTTTCAGGGCTGGGGATTTAGCTCAGCAGCACAGCGCCTGCCTGGCAAGCGCAAGGTTGTGAGTTAGATTCCTGGTACCCGAAAAAAAAACCAAACAACAACAACAACAAAAAAGACTTGGTTTCAAGTTAAGAAAACTTAAAGGAAATGCATAAGACTTGAATGGGAATATAATAAAAATAAAAGGAATTTATTTAATGTGGTAGGATTCTGGGCCTAAAATTTTTCAAATTTCTTATTTTTCTTCTAACAAATATTTATATATTAATCATGACAAAAGCAAATGATGAAATTGCATTAAAGCCATTAATATATTTCATAGGAGTCCCTAACACTTAAATATTTGCTTATTCATTTATTCATTCAATGAGAATTTCTTTAGCACTTTAAACCCATCAAAGATATCAGAGATTTGTTAGACTAGAAAATGCAGTATTGTAAAGACTGATATGATATGATAATTACTACATTATTTTGATTCTAAGAAGCATTTTTCCCTCATTTTAACATCTCTGGAATTTGGACACATCATGTAATTGGTGGTATCTTTTGGTTATAATTAGCAGCATTTTCCATTAATGGTACATAAAATAACAAGAGACTTCGACAATTGATGATGTCTTAGATTTGCTGAAATACAATACATTTCTTAGTAATTGTTCAATTGTGAGATCTCAAGGCAAGAACGGCATGTTAATTCATCTTGTCATTTCCCTAATTCTAGCCTGGAATTGCACTAAATATATTGTGTGCTAATCAGTAAAGAAGCGTTTCTCTCAAAATCTTATACCTAAGCTTAAGTCTTTGGATTTTATTAGCAGCTTTAAAAACTAATATAAAAATGTTCTGGCACCATTTTTCTTTTCATTGAATAGCTGACCTTAGTGACATTTTAATTATTCCTTTTTTATATAGTTTGTGCCTTCCTTTCAGCAATTATAGTCTATTTTACTTTTAGGAATTGTTGAATTGAATTTTCACTTCTGATTTGGAGGTGATTGGAGCACATGATTGAGTTCCTAGGATTTGGTCTTAGATAAGCTGATATAGTGTGGCTAGTTTTTAGCTATCCCTTGTAGTAGGATAGTTAATTGTAACCTGCAAATGCTCCCCTAGCCTTTTATTAGTTATTTTATGATACAAATATGTAGCAAAGTCACACTGGCTTGCATTTTAAAGTTTTATGTTTTCTTTTTAGAAGGGGTAGCAATACTGAAATGGTTAAAAAGTGTAAAAAGGCAGCAATAGAATATATAAGAGAATTGAAAGGTCTGAATAGGTTGGCCAACTGGATAATTGACCTCTGAGTAATAAAAAATTGACTGTGATTTCATGCATTACTATTGAGCATTGTTTAGATTTAACTTTTGTTTGCTACTGATTGAATTAAAGTTTGAGGTGAAATGCTCTGTATCTCATTTCTAAACTCTCAACAGTTCAGTCATCTCTCATTGTGAGATCCACACATGAAACAAGAGTAAGAAAGTTAAATATCTGGATTAGAAAAAAGTATGTATTTTAAACCTGCAGCTTTCTAAATGGGAGAAAAGCAATTATAAGAGTTTAAAGAATCAATAGAAATTGATGTTTTATACTAAAGAAAACTTAAACCCCTGAGACTTACTCTCCCTGCCATCACTATATAAATAAGAAGAAATCAATAGCCCAGAAACATAAGCTGTTAAAAGATTCACTTCCAGCAACTGCTTTTGATACTCAAGGCACTGTTAACTGTTTGGATTCAAAAAATGTATGTAAGCAAGCACAGGAAATTATACTGTTAACTTAAGCAAGCACAGGAAATTATATTGTTAACTTAAAATGATCATTTTTTTGTGATCTCCATATCTTTCTATCTTTCAATGAAAGATAGAAAGATATGGAGATCACAAAAAAATGATCATTTCAGCATACATTCAGAATTAAGTCTTTCTGTGGCTTACAGCTAGTTGAAAGGTCCTTCCCATTAAAAGACACATAATGCAATACTAAATATTTTAACAGTCTACACGTGCCTGTGTGACGAGTGTCCCATGCGCTTGTAGCCTCTTGCTCTCACAGAAGGTCTAATCTCAGGGTTGTGAAGTGAGAACTGGACAACACTTAGGGGATAGTGAAACGGAGCATGAGAAATCTGAACTGGAAGCTGGGTTTGGAGGTGTTAATGGCTGAAGTCAGGAGAGTTTGTGTTCTCCTGCAGGGGTGAACTGGAGTTCACTGATGCCCCTGGAAATGCTGATTTCTGTGTCCAGTGTCCAGTGTTTCCGTTGTCTACCTTCCCTCATTGATATGTGTCCAGCCAGCAGTGTTCATTTGAGTGCACATGTCCACATATCCTACTAACAACCTTGCAAGGAAGTACCACAGGTCTTCTAAATGTCCTGGGTGTTAGTAGAATATCATTTATTAATGTTTGTTAACTATAAGGGGCCAGTGATAAGCATTTCATAGCTGGCTGTCTGTACCAGCACCTCTTTTGCTCTTATTCAAAAAATAAACCTGAATTCAAGTGGATGTGATACTATAGGAAAGACTCTGAACTGATTCTGAGTCATTAAAATTCATTTACAAAGTTGTACACTACATTTTTAATGATTTTACATGCTTATACCACTGTATTGAATTTCTGCCTGAGAATGGTGCTTTCTTGATTTTATTATAACACAATCACTGTGATGAATAATCCTGTTAAATTATTTGCTTGATAATATTTGTGTCAAAAATACCACTCTATAGAACATAGATTATTGTTCCTATATTTACATATAGAGAGAGTGGGCGGTGAAGAGGAGAGGTAAGGTAGCGTTTGTCACAGCTGCTTTTTTATGCCACGAAACAGACTTTCCTTTACCTTTACCTCTTTGCATTTTGAGCATCTCAGCTAAAAACGAACAACAAAAGCTCCATACCTTCCAAACCAAGAGCACCATGTCTCTGTGGAAAGACAGGAGCCAGATGGACAAAGGCCAGGTCTCAGCTCTGGGTAATAGAGCTCAAACATCTTCATAGAGAAAAGAACAGAAGTAGTGAAACTAAGGACATGGTTCCATTCCACCCCTGAATTATCCCTTCTTATCAGGGAAGCTGCTTCTCAACCTGGTCTTGTTTCACTTATCAGAGATTTCTTACAAATCACAGAATTTTAAAGCAAGGGAAGATGTTAAACGTCACATTTGTATCTCCATTTTTACATTTCTAGCAGGTTATTCTTTGTAACCCTGAAAATTGTTATATCTTTGGATTCTTATTTTCTGTGTAGAACCCAGAAGTATTTAATAAATATTTGTCAACTAAGCTGAAAGAACTTAGTCTTCACTCATGTTAATAAGTCAAAATACTACTAATCTGGTATTTCTTAGTTAATCTTACCAGTTCATTGTCAACAATGACCTTTTTTTCTCTAACCAGATTTGCATCTGCTGGTGATGATGGAATTGTAATTGTATGGAATGCTCAGGTTTGTATGGATTGTATATGGAATGCCACATAGTTGGTATTCATAAGTACTGTGAAGTGATACTTGCATGTCTATCATTTGAGGCTTAATAATACCTGGAAAGGGCAACTTGGGTAAATTTATTTCAAATAAGGACCAGTCTAGGGACAGGTTTCTTTGTACTTGTGTGTGTGTGTGTGTGTGTGAGAGAGAGAGAGAGAGAGAAAGAGAGAGAGGAGAGAGAGAGAGAGAGAGCGCAAGCGCCTGGGGGTTAAACTCATAGGGCTCACCAGAAACAAACAAACAAAAAACCAGGGGCTGGGGATTTAGCTCAGCGGCACAGCGCCTGCCTGGCAAGCACAAGGTCGTGAGTTTGATTTCCAGTACCAGAGAAAATTAAAAAAAAAAACAAAAAACAAAAAAACCAAACCAACCAACAAACAAAAAACTCATAGGGTTTTTGCACTGAGCTACATCCCTGGTTTTTAAAAAAATTTTAAAATTTGAGACAGGGTCTCGCTGAGTTGCTTAAGCTGAGTTCAAACCTGGGATACCCCTGCCTCAGCCTCTCATAGTCTTAGGATTTCAGGCATGGACCACCGTACCTGGATAATCTTTATTAAGATATCTTCCTGAAAAACAAATGTCATTTTATGAAAATAAAAATTTTATTCTTACTAAACAAAATTTAGCTCATAAGCAAGTATGACACTGACTTTCAGAATGGATCAAGTATTAATTTTTGTGAAAGGTACAGTTCTTTCTGCATTGTACAATGGCATCATATGACAGTCTCATTTTTTTTTCTCATTTGACTACTAATATAACAGAAGGTTTGGTTTTTCAAAAATATTAAAGGCATCACCAAGTTTCTCCAGGGCTTTTTCCTGATGCTTTCTTTTTCAAATTACTCTCTTTTTAAGGATTTTATTCTCATTGTACCTTTATTTTGGATCCTTAACTGGTCTGTCAGATCTTCATTTTTTAACAGCTTTGCCTGTGCTGAAGCCATTCTTTAACATCCCAGTCTCCCCTGCCACAGAGGAGCGCCAGAATCTGTGAATATTTGCGTGGAACCTACCCATGCCATATATACCTTAGATCCTCTCCAGGTTACTTGTCTGGCCCAGTGAAATGTAAAGCCTATGCAAATACTTGTTGCACTGTTTTTAAAGAATAACAACAAGGAAAGAAGTCTGTACACTTTCAGTGCAGATGGTCTTTCTAAAACACATTTTCAGTCTGAGTTTGGTTGAGTACATAGGTGCACAGCTGGTGGATGCAGAGGGCCAGGGTACTTCCACAATACTCACGTAATCCATTTTATTTTTGTATGTTTACTGCTTGGTGCACGAGCGAGAGGCGGACAGGACTGCATTGAATGAGTGGGAATGTGTGGTGTTCCTGGTGAGGCAGTGGAGAGTAACTTTGTAAACGAGTGATCAATCAGTACAACACACATACACACACACACACACACACACACACGCACACCGTTGTTATGACATTTTCTTGTATACGTTAGAACTGTAGAGGTAGGTAATAAATAATAATTTCCTACAGGTTGAATTGACAATGTTTTCATTGCTTAACTTATGTAATTACGATGTAGTCTTAAAATCATAAGAAAAATACTCCTTTAAATTAGATTTTCTGTTTAAAAATGGTCAAAATTATTTATGGCTATTCTTTTAGCACTTGTTTAGGTTCTATTCGATTGCTTAATTAAAGTTAAAAGTCCTGGGTAAGTAATTTTGAAATAGAATACATGTGTATTTTCTACACAATCGTTCTTAATATTGTCTTTTAAGACTGTTTAAATTGGAAAGATGAACCTACTAACATTTTTACTGGTATTTCAGACGGGAGAAAAACTTTTGGAACTCAGTGGGCACACTCAGAAGATAACAGCTATTATTACATTTCCTTCCTTGGAATCTTGTGAAGAGAAGAATCAGCTCATCTTGACAGCCTCTGCTGATCGAACAGTTATTATATCCTTAAGTCGGGAAGAAAGTGAAGCGGCTGCGGTGACCCCAGGGGCCCCACGTACATTATGAGTCTTTAGCCTCTAGGGTTTTGTGTGAACCTTCTTGTCAGAGCAAAAATGATTTTTTTTCTAGTCTTCCTAAGACACTTCTTATAAGTATTAGGCATCTGGAAAGTATTAGACTAGAAATAGCAGGTTAAGGGTTATGTTGATGGAAACCTTGTGACTGAAACTGTTCTTTCCAGAGTTACTGTTATATCAAGTTGTGTAAAATGGAGGAAATGGGAGAGTGGCCTTAAAAATATTTATTGTATCATCTCAATTTGCTTTTCAATTTAGGGCAACAAAGATGAGTTGGACTGGAGAATCAATTCGTGTGTTTTTAACCCCCTCTTGTTTTATAGCAAAAGCAACTTAATGGTTCCAACCCAGGAGCTTCAAAGTCTGCAAAAAAGTGCATTAGCACTGCTAGGTTTTTAATACTGATATTCGAGGTTTAAAAGCAATTTTTATAAAGTTACTTTTCCTTACCCCATACTTTTATTAAGAAAGGAAATGTAATAACGGGTGAAGTTTTAGGAAGGGCTTAGTGTGCTATGTTGTGTTTTACATATGTTGACCCATTTGATCCTTGAAATAGCCCTTGGAAAGAGGCACTTTAGTTATCATCACTTACAGATGAGAAAGTGGAGCACAGAGAATGTTCAGTATCCTCCCCATGGTGCACAGCCAGCATAGAACAGAACTGACTGACAGTCTGGCTGCAAAACCAGACCTATGAGCCACTATCTAACACTGTCTTCATAAAGTATCTTCTTAAACAAATTGAGCCCTTTAATAACTTTGTGAAGAACTGAACTTGTGAAGCCTATGGCCAGGTGCTCTGGATAACTCTGTTCTTTCATTTTTTTTTAAAAGGTGGCAGATTGGCTTTAAAAAATATCCTTGCTTATCTGAAAGTTCTGTTTAAACAATTTGGAGCATTAGCGATGTTAAGTTTTGGAGTAGGGGCTGGGGATTTAGCTCAGAGGCAAAGCGCCTGCCTGGCAAGCGCAAGGTCGTGAGTTCGGTTCCCGGTACCGGAGAAAAACAAAAAAAAAAAAAAAAAAAAAAAAGTTTTGGAGTAAACCCAAAAGAGCTATTTCTTAGAGTTCTATAGAACCAAGACATTCTTAATACCATACATTAATGAGCTCTTCAGCTAATACATTTTGTGTAATTAATTGATGACATAAAGGTATACAGTTTAGGCCAGAGTAGCATTTTTACTGCTATTCTGTTGAAGCAAATGTACTTTTATGGAATAAAATGTTTTGGTTTTTTCTTTTGCAGTATAGTCTCTGCAAAAGTACAATTTAAATACTTTCTCTTTATTAGACTGTTCCTAAGACAGTATTATAGTATTTCAAGGGAATTATTAAAATTACTGTTACAGTATAGAGGTAAGTAGCTGGGATAGTATCAGCATAAATTTTACCTATAAATGATAGAGTCATTTCCTTTGCTGAATGACTTTTCTTGTTGAAATAAAAAAGTTCTAGGCTGCTTAGTTAGCAGTTTGTTTTACCTAAATGAATTCTAAATTTATTCTGCTTGGGCCTTCACTATTAATTAAATGCTTCCTTAAATGCCGAAAGTAGATTTTTAAAATTTTTGTCCCATAATAAGTAGCCTTAAGAGCTCAAGTTTTTCAGCATTGAACATTTAGCTCTGAAATAATAACTGAAAAGAGTGAGAGATAATAGTAGAATTGTGGTAAATGTAAGGCCGGTGAACATTGGTTACTGGGAGCACTTTGTGAGTGTCAGCAGTGTGTTGAGCGTGATGTGTATATATATATATATATATATATATATATATATATATATATATGTATCTTTCATTCTCATAAGGAATGAGATGGGCTGTAATAAAAAATGCATTGGACACGGTAAGGTTAATTTGTAAAATTCCTTTCCATTTTTAATATAAATACAAGCTTACATGTATGCAAGTCAGACAATGTAAATGTATTTCTTACCTTAGGAAATAGTTTCAAAAATTAGAGAATCATCAGGCTCCCAAGTTACCCTAACTCTGGACATTTTATGAAAGCCCTTCTGTTGTTTTCACTTGATCTCAGCTAAAAGGCCGAGAAGTGGTCCTTCTGTTGTTTAAAATACACATACAGGTAGTGATAAGACACTGCTAGTGTGTTCTTTGAATGAGGGTAATAGTTTAATCATACCAGTGGCATTGCAGGGAGCTTGCAGAAAATACTGATTAATGGATTTGACAGTTCTTAGTAGAAATACTTTATGTTCATGTTTATGACAGACTATTGTGGAGAATAAACATGAAGCAATGCAATATTTAATGCCTATAAAGATTCAGGATATCAGACCACTAATTCTGTTGGCATTTTAAAATAGTCTGATAGTAAAATTTATCTCAAGCTTATTTTAGATTACAAGCCTGTTCTGGTAAGTTGATGACTCACTATATAAATTAATATTTGTAGTAGTATAAATACTAAATACTTCATTTATAGATTTTACAGCTATTTAGCATTTGTGATTTAATTGTGAATGAGAAAAGTTGTCTTATAATTACAATTTTAAAATTCGATTCAGAAATTAATTTCTTAACATAAATTTAGGTTTGGGATTGTGATACTGGCAGACAAGTTCGGAGAGTATCATGCTTCCAGTCTACTGTGAAGGTAAAATCTCCAGCAAATAGGAGTTTTTGTGGTGTCTGGTTTTGTCTCAGAAAAAAAATGGTTTAATAAATTAGGTGAAATTACTTTTGTAGGTTTAAAAAATTATGTCTTTTACACACACCTGCACTGATTTGAGTTGAAGGCTGGATTTTTTGGAGCCTGTGTTTTAAATGTTAGAATGTTTCAGTTGGAGACTGGAATGGTAGCTAACTGCTCCAGGAGAATGCAGAAAAAGTAAGACCTGGTCTGTCTTGAGCCAGTAATTCCAGACTGCAAGGGCAAGCAGAAACACTGAAACAACACCCAGGATTTAGAGGCAGATTTATTTACATCGACAGGCACTGATCAGGATCATTCCCAAAATTCAGGCCCCGATCTCTGGTGGTCTAGGGCTTATATGAGATAAGCAAGCAGGAAGTACAGAGGCAGAATGGCTTGTCAGTTGGGGATTGGTTTATACAATGTGCATCACAGCGACCAGCCATTTCTAAGAGACAGAAGCAACCAGATCTGTCACTGGAACTATTACCTGGGCAACTGACAGACTGAAGTGCGTCGGCTGTTGAGAGGACATCTTCTGCTACAAGAAGAGGTGCCACTTACAGAATGACTGAGCAGTTTTCTCTATACTCTGAACTACAAATGTGGAGCTGTTTGTCCCTTGAGCTTTGCCTTCTCTGAGGTGTCAGTTATTAGCTCCAAAACTAACCTCTGATGTGGCTAACTGTCTTCTACTATTAGGTTCACTCATTTCCAAATATTAGGAAGTAAGAACTATGCTGTGTGCTAAAAAACAGACAGGGCTAAACCTTGGTTATGATTTATAAGAAGTAACCCTAAATGTTTGGGAAAGTAACACTGCTTTTTAATGTTAGCCAGTTTGGCAAGGGACTAGTAAAATAAGATGTTTCCTAATTTGTTTTAAAGATAGCTGATGTCTATACTGTAGCTAACACCTTTTTCTTTAAGACAGAAAGAATTGCTCTGTGCCAGTAGTCAGACTACATCATTATTGTCCTAAAAAACAGCCCTTCTGGCAGCCACTTTGCAGCACTATGCTGTCACAAATACCAATTTAGTAAAGTTTCTGGGGAAGAAAGTATCATGTACTAATATGTGTCTAATTTAACAATGGGCTTTCTGTGAAGAAGATGAAAATCTCTGTTATGTGATCTGAAAAGATGCTACTTTTATATTCCTTTAAAAATAATTCTTGCTATCTGAAAAATTAAGGTCAGTAAGTTTCAAATAAAAATACATGAATAAACAGGGAAAGAGAAAAAAATGTAGAGTATTTCAGGGAAATTCCTTCTGGAGTGTTCCATGAATTAGGTGTAGGAACTAGTCAGTAAAAAAGTAGCTTATACCAGTGTCCTGAAAATACTCTTTAAAAGGGGTTAATTGTAACACTGATTAACTAGATAATTGTATTTGTTTACTCCTTCTGTGATCCTGTTTCACATAAAAAAATTGTTAAAAGATATTATTTTGCTAGCTTCAGTTCAGTGGTCCAGTTCTGCTTTTCTGTTTTTGTTTTTTTTAATCCTGAAAAATGAACATGCTTAGGCCTGATAGGCCAGTGCTCCCCCACTGAGCTATATCTCCAGCTCATTTTTCATTTATTTTTGAGACAGTGTCTTGCTAGATTGCCCAGGCTGACCTCCAACTTGTGTTCCTCCTGCCTTAGCCTCCCGAGTGCTGGGATTAGAGGGGTGCAACACCACACCTGGCTTGGCTAGTGTTTCTTGAGTCAAATAAATCCAGATCCATAATACAAGAAATACCACAATTATTCATAGAGCTAGTAAAAGTAAAGCTTTTAAAATAAAGGTTGGTATTAGCAAGGAAATACTGAAAATGGTGTTTATATTGCTCCTTGAGAGTATAAATTAATATGCTCTTCCAGAAAGCCAGTTTGGTGAATCTAAGAAAGTGATTGCATGCATTGGCCCAGTAATTCTACTTCAAGGCAGCTCTTTTTAGGAAATATTAAAAAGTTGGACAGAGATTTATGAACAGAAATGTATATTACAAATATGTTTTTATAAAGGGATGATTGGACATACCCTAGTGTTTTACTGCAAAACAAAGTGTGTGTGTGTGTGTGTGTGTGTGTGTGTGTGTGTGCGCGCGCACACCCACATGTACATAAACGTAAGAGTTGTCAGTGAAATATACAGTGAATATTTAAATTAAAACCAGTTCCAGTAGAAGAGGCATTGCTATTGATCCCCCTCAGAATGCCCTCTTCAGGTGGGACTGTGTTTCCCATGGTCCTTTCACCGCTCCCTGAAGTCGGTGTCCTCTTTCCCATCCTCTGTGAGGCATGATAAACATGTTGAGTGCTGCCACCGAGTGCCACCCCACAGAAGACAGGCTCGTAAAAGCAGGCACTGTGTCCTCCTTCCCGCTCACTGGATCTGGCACTGTGTATCCCCTGGCTCTTCCCAGAGTCAAAGTGACCGTGAAGGGACACGTTTTCAATTGAGGCAGCTACGGCCATGCAGCTGAAGCCAGTCATGAGAAAGGACTTCCAGAACTGCTTCAGAACGTGGCAGGAAGGATGGGATGAGTGTGTTCAACACAAGGGGGGCTATTTTGAGGGAAATTAATGGCAGTGTGTCTTCTACTGTAATACATTTAAATTTTTAAGTGTTCACTTTTTTTAATCACACTGCATATGCCCCCACACCCCCATGTAATATGTATTTCAGAACATAAAAAGAATTTGGAAAATGCTAGTGATACTGTGTTAAATAATGAAACAGTGTATTATCCCCAGTAAAACATTAGCAAATCAAACCCAGCAACATAGAAAAAAGATTATACATCATATCCCTGGAATATGAGCTTGCTTTAACATCTGAAAATCAACCAATGAGATACCCCTTGGTAAGAATATAGGACAAAAGCAAAGGTGCAGAGAAAGCATGCTCCTGCATGGTAAAAATACAGACTAGGAAGGGATGAGAACATCCAAGTACAAGATTACACATTAAAAACTTCAAAATGTTGTTCATGAGATTAAGAAAGATAGAAGCGGGCATGGTGTACCTGTCTGGAATCCCAGCACTCGGGAGGCTGAGGCAGGAGGATCACTGCAAGTTTGAGGCAAGCCTGGGCTACATAGCAAGACCCTGTCTCAAAAGACCAAAAACTACAAACAAACAAAAAAGAAAGGTGATGTAAAGAAATGAAAAGACAGTCCTGTGTTTGTGTATTAGATTTAATATTGTCAGGATTGCAACACTACTTGAATAGATCTACAGATTGGACACTGTCAGAATTAAAGCTGGATTTCTCCTTTAGAAATTGACAGGCTGACCTTAAAACTTACACGGATGTATGAGGGTCCCAGAGTGGCCAAAACAATCCTAAAAAGGAATGTAATACAAAGTTGTAATGCTCACACTTCCCTATTTCAAAACAAAGCTGCAGTAATCAAGGCTGTGTGGTACTTGCATAGCGATAGACATATATATCAAAGGAATCGAATTGAGAGTCCGGAAATAAAATCTCCTATAAATGAGCAGCTGATTTTGACATGGATACCAATACCCTTTGGTGGGAGAAAGAATAGTCTCTGCAGAACAGGTGCTGAGCCGGGCGCTGTGCTGTGTGCCTACAGACCCAGCCACTGGGAAGGCTGAGGCAGGATTGCTCAACCCTCATGAGTACAAGTCCAGCCTGGCATCACAGAGAAACCTTGTCTCAAAAAGATAAACAAAGATTAATTAAGCCTCAATAAAATCAAGAGCTTTTGTCCTTCAAAGAATACCACAGAGAGAGTGAAAAGATAATCCATAGATTGGGAGAAATACTTGCAAACCGTGTGTGTAATAGGACTTATCCAGAATATGCAAAGAACTCTCAACAATGAAAAGGTATAGTCCAATTGAAAATAGACAAAGGATTTGAAAACTCTCCAAATAATATATACAAGTGGCCAATCAGCACGTGAAGAGAAGCTCAACACTATTAGTCCTTAGAGAAACAGAAGTGAAATTGAGACAGCCTTTCATACATACTAGCGTGGCTGATAGCTAAGACAGGTCTGACGTGTTGATGAGGATGTGGAAACCTTCATGCACGGCTGGCAGGTTGTGGAGTGGTTGTCACCCTGGACATTGGCATTTCTTCATCAAATTGTTAAACGTAGTCTCACGCAGCAGTCCTATTCCTATGTAGGGTTTGCCCAATCCTATGTAGCAATGCTAAATGAAAACATGGCCACTCTACAGTGTGTACGTGAATGTTCAGAGCAGCACTGTTCATGACAGCTCAAATGTTAAGTGACAAAGGGATCAGCAAAATGTGTATGGAATATTATTTGGCAATAAGATGGAACGAAGTACTGATACTAAAAACCCAGAGGGTAGACAGTTTAGGACCTCTTGAGATACATTATCAGTATTGATTATTTTCAACTCTTTTCTTCCATCAGCTTTAAAGCAGCCCTACCCTCAGCCGAGGAAAGACCACTAAAACCAGCAGCCTCTCTTTTCAACTCCCTTGGTCTTGCCCTTGTCCTGGGGTCTAATGGACCTCAGTGCCATCAACGGTAAAGCACTTGCGTGGCCCTTAGAACAAGTGTTTTCCCGAGTTCCCAACAGAAGTATTGAGAGGACTCAGGAGATGGTTAATTTAAGACATAAAAACTAAGGTCATATTTTCCATAGTATTTAAAAACGGGTTTAACCATTATGTATGATCTGCTATTGAGTTACAAATTACTTCCAACTAAGTGGCTTGAAATAAAGGCTTATTACCTCAGTGTCAATAGTCAGGAATAGGAAACATCCAGCCAAGTGGTTCTAGCCCAGGTCCTATCATCTGAAGGCCCTTGTGGCCTTGAGGGGTCTCCTGCTGAGCTGCCCCTGCTGCTTGCCATAATAGGGCTAATGGTGCCCAGAAGCCTCAGCTCTTGGCTGGGTGGACCTCTCTCCTGTGCCTGCTCAAGTGAGTGATATGAGGACCAGGAGGAACCCACTGTGTCTCTGGGACTTCCTCTCGTAAGTCCTGCACCACCCTTCTGTCCTTCTAGCCCTGTGACATTAGTGTCAGGCATAGTAGACACTGTTACACAGACACTCGACTTTCTGGTAGAGCCCAAGTTTGTGCAGAGGAAAAATAAGCTCCACCTGTCCAAGGGAGGGGCTTTGGAGAACTTGCAGACACTTCAGAACTACCCAACAGTGCAGGCTTGAGTTTCTAAACGCTTTAAATCAATTTTGCAGTGCTTAACTGTTCTTCGGAGCCTGGAGGTTTGGCTCTCTGGTGGGAACGACTTATGTGTGTGGAACCGAAAATTAGAGCTCTTGTGTAAGACCAGCCACATTTCTGATACAGGTAAGAACAAATCAAGATAACTGTGAACCAAGATTGACAGACTCTAGAAACACAAGTGCGTTTTCATAAATACAAAGCTCCACGTTAGTTTTTTTCAGTTTTGAAGATTGTGAGTAACCATATTCAGTAAATACTTCCCTTCAGATAATTAAATGAACTTTTTCTGGCAGTTGAACCTGGGACCTTTACATTGAGCTATATCCTCACCCTACTCCTTCCTTTTAAAATTTTGAGACAGCGTTTTGCCAGGTCATTAGGTTGCCCAGGGTAGACTCAGCCTTACAGTCCTCCTGCCCCATCTCCCAGAGTGCTGGCGTTACAGGTGTGCACCACTGTGCCTAGCTAGGGAACGCTTTTAAAATAAAACATTTCCTGTGTTTAAAATTGTCCCCCTGTCACCCATGCACCTGTTCTTCTGTCTGCACCTTCTCCTGCTGCACTCCTCTGCTTTCTCCTCTGCCACCTCCTTCTCCTCGTACATGGAAGATACAAAGCACAGCAGCAAAACAAGCCCCTGTGGAGGAAAATTAGGCCGGAAATGCTGTTCATATCACAGCAGGGCCACTAGTCTTTCTCAGATGGGGTCAGCAGATGGGTAGAATATTTTCCAAATTTGAATATGTATTATCAATTACATATATATTATTAATGGAGAAATTAATAGGTTTTTTTTGCCAACATATATATTGGTTCTAATATAGCAGTGCTTTAATTCTTGCTGACAAAAGTTAGTAATTGTAACGTAGCTCACAAAAGTTATGGTTAGCCTCAAATCACATCATGTAATTCAGATGTGAAAAGACTCTCAGAACTCTAAACCTAAGGGCAGGCATAGTGCGCATTCCTCTAGTACCAGCTACCGAGGCAGAAGAATCACTTGAGCCCAGGGGTTTGAGGCTTGCCTACGCAACAGAGTGAGACTTTGTCTCTTAAAACAAAGGCAAAAACCTTAGAAAAACTCTGTATTTTAAATAAATGAAATACACAAAATCTGATTATGTTAGTAATACAAGAAATTTTGTGAATGTGTTAACTGCCCATAAGCACGCTAATTGAAAGCCATTTTCTTAGCTGTGGCTGGCTGTTAGGTAGCTCTAGTGATACAGGTGTGACAGACTCAGTCTCCGTCTCTCCTGTGCTTTCATTTGACAACATGCATAGAGCCTGCAGGGGCAGATACCAGCTGGATATCCTCTGAAGTGTCCTACCCAGAGGCAGTGTCAGATGCCATAGGTTGAAGGCTCAGTGCCAGACACTGCCCCACCCCACTTCAGGTGCTGTTTACAAGCTTTTGACCCACTAGCTGTAAATCGGGGTTCCCATGACTCGCTTTGGGTTTACTTTGCTAGAGCGTCTCACAGAATTCAGGCCAACACTTGTTGTAAAGAATATTACGAAGGCTGCCGGTAAAGAGATGCCCAGGGCAGGGCACACAGGTGGGGCATGGAGCTCCACCCTGCCCGAGTGTGTCACCGCCATGGACTGGGCTGTCGGGAATCTATCTGAACTCTGCCCTTTCGGGTTTTTATGAGGCTTTGTTACCTAGGTGTGGTTGCTTCAGCCATTGGCCACTGATGACCAGTTTCATCTTCAGTTCCTCTCTCGCCCTGTAGGTGGGAGGTTGGAGATGGGAAGTCCCAACCCTCTAATCCTGCCTTGGTCATTTCAGGGACTGGCAGCCGTCAGTCATCCCATGGGTGTATGAAAAGACACATGTCTGGAAATCCAAAGGATTTTAGCAGTCATGTTCCAGGGAGCAAAATGCGGACTAGATATCTATTGCACAGTATCACACTGGCTCACTTAATGCCAGGGATGTGCTCAGCCTGCTTAGTTTTACATGGAGGGGAAGCTCCACTTCGGCATCTGCTTTTGAGCTTGCCATCTTGTAAGTGGGTGATGGTGATTATCATACGGGATCCTGGTCAATAAGGTGGAATAGCTGCGTGCACTACTTTCTCATAACAGTAAAGATGTTCTGTGTCTTCTAGGGCCTCAGAAACTTTAGTGAACAAGCATTTTCCACCTGTAAACAAGCAAAGGAAAGTGTGTGCAGCCAAATGTGTGTGCTTTGTGTAAATTTACCCCATTTATGGGGAGTGACTGACATAAAACAGTATTTTTTATGTAATCCATGGAGAAAAAGTGATTTGACTTTTGTTTCCTGTGTGTCTGAAGGGATCAGTGCTTTGGTCGAAATACCTAATAACTGTGTTGCAGCTGCAGTTGGCAAGGAACTGAGTGAGTATGGTCTTCTCTTCTCTTTCTGTGTTTTAAAAAAATACATATTTTAAAACTAGACTACGATATACATGCTGGAAAGACAAAGTAGTTGTTTATTTCAGGGATGTCTGCCCCTGCCCCAGCTTGACCTCATGGGATTGCCAAGAATGACAGAGAGTGGAATATTTTCAAGATGCTAGGTCACATTTCTTTTTTCTGGTCAGTATTTCAGGTTATCGTCTCTGTTAGTTTGATTAAACAGTATACTACTATTCTAAAATCCTGGTCTCCGGATCACTTGGCATTCTCTGCCTATGGTCACGTTTTCAGATTCATTGGATAGGTGCATAGGAAGTTCTTGTATGTATTGATTGAAAAACCTTTTGGCAGCTAATGGCTGTCAGAATTTACTAATTTTGCTAGAGGCTTGTCAGTTGGTGAAATATTGTCAGAGAGACCAGAAGAAATGTGGCATGGCCTGTTTGCCAGAAAGGAATGTGAGAAGGAAGAGAGACGTGGGTCATCACCGCCCAAGGACACGCCACATCCCAGATGTTAGGCCTCCTGACCTTCAGGCCTCCGCAGCACTGGCCCCGGGAGCTTCTCCCAGCGCTTAGTGTACTGGTGCTAACTAAGCCTGTGCACAAGTCTCGCTCCCACCATGGGCTGTGATCCTTCCAGGGTGGTGACTGAGCCTTATTCACATTGGACAGCACAACTCCTAGAATGCGTAGGTGCTTGGTAAATGTTGGTTGATTTGATTTTTTTTTGTTTGTTCTCTGTATTGATTAAAGTTAGAATTTGTTCTACTTTAAATAAAACTACTTGTTAAAGGCAGATAATGAGTCGAGCCACACAGTGAACGTCTACTGTAATCAAAAGAACTGCATAGCATACAGAACTAACAGGCATATTCCTAGAGAATGTAGAATGATATACACCAAGGTATCAAAAATTTTTTTTTTTTTTTTTTTTTGGTTTTTGTCCGGTACCGGGAACCGAACTCATGACCTTGTGCTTGCCAGGCAGGCACTTTGCCACTGAGCTAAATCCCCAGCCCCCTCAAAAGTTTTTTTAAAGCTGCCAAAAGTCTTCACTGTGCTGAAGTTAAGCTTATTTTATAGCTGAGCTGACCAGTCTGGCAGCGTGAGTTGAAAAGGTGAAAGTGGAGATGCTGGGGGTGTGGCCCTGTCACTGGCCGGGGAGGAGGGGGATAGCCGGGCACGAGGGGAAGCCCTGGAGAGCGGAGGCGTCCACTGTGGTGGTAGCATTGGAAGAGTCAGGGAAGAAAGTGAGTGGGGGCCTGGGGATTCAGCAGACCAATTCAGACATCTCCAGAATCAGTTCTAACTGGTATGAATGAGGCTGTCTGTGCCGATGGGTTTTCCAATGTGTTAGCTGTTTTTCACTTAATAAAATGCTGCATTTTGAGCAGGAATGGGGTTTTATCTTCTTTGAGCATTTTAATGCAATTAATGTCTTTTTCATTTTAGTAATTTTCAGGTTAGTAGCACCCAGCAAAGGATCGCTAGAGTGGGACATTATTGAAGTTAAACGGCTCCTTGATCACCAGGACAATATTCTCTCCTTGGTTAATGTCAATGGTAAGCTAGTTGTGTACCTTTTGTGTTACGTAACATTTTGTACCTCTTTACCTGTTGTGAACTTTAGTCTTATTTATTTGAGGATTCTGGAATTAGAGTTATTAAAATAATAGTTTAGATGAGGGATTGTCAGTCTCTTCACTCTAAGCATTCAGCCCGTGCGTTTGAGCCTCTCACGGATTCGCGGGGCTGAGAGAGACACACCAGGAGAATGGAGGGAAGCAGAGAACGAGGGCGGAGGAGAGCATGGTCACCCAGGAAGCACCTGCGGCCGTGGGACGGTCAGTGTAGGCTGTAAAGACGTAACACCTCTTGGCACCTCAGCATTCTTGGCAAATGGTTTTTGCCAGTCCCTCTTTGTGGGGAAGACTGGAAACATGCCAGTGGTGGCAAACCTATGGCACACATATTGTTTTCCTTTGAAGATAAAAGTTGTTAATGTATGAGAGTTTTCTAAAGTAAAACCTCAGCATTCAGGTTGAATTGCAGTGTTGGCACTGTGGGAGAAATAAGTGGGTTTGGGGTTGCAGTTTGGGCACTCATCTCTACACCTGGTCTTAGCCAAAAGGCTGAGAAGTGATGGGGCAGTTGTTTCTCACAGGTTCGCCATCACTGAGTTCCGCCCTTTCATCTTGCTGACCACAGCAGGTCGTATACTTGGAGTAGTATGAGCAGGATTTAGTAGGCAGTAGTAACCATGCCTGAGGGAGGTTTGTAGAAAATAGATCATGTCTGCCTTCCTCATAGTTAAGGGCTGCGACTTGCCAGATGCCCTATGTGAACCCGTAAATGGTTTTAGCGTCTGCTGTGAGCCGAACCTGACATCAGAAGGAAGATAAGCTCAGGTCCCCAGGTCCTGGCATTGGCTCATTCACGTGCAGTTAAATAGGAGCTTTTGTCATCAGAGCTCTGCAGGTGACCTGAGCGGTGTAGAGGAGAGGACTCGTGGCTTCCTTTGCAGTCTGTAGAGACAGCAGGTGGGTCCTGTAAGGCTGCTGTGAGTGAGGGAGCGGGAGGACTGAGAGCACCCCAGGCCTGCGCTGGCTCTTTTTGAGCAACATTTTATATAGTTATAAGACAGAGAGGGGCACAAGGAACATCGCACTCCTTTTGAGTGTGACATGGTCACATTTTCAGGGATGTCAGTGAGAACATCCTGCTAGATCCAAACCCCCGTCCACTGTCATCTGGTGTGGCTCAGCTCCATATCATTCTGAGGACCACATCGTCTGTGACTGTCTAACTGACAGTGCTGGTTGTGCTCCTTTCTTCTTCTCTGGGGCTGTTGGTCTCTAGCCATGGATGGCAGCACGAAAGGCGAGTTCTTATTTGGGAGACCCTTGGAAGCCTCCTTGGTAACACTGGGCCATCAGTACCAAGTCCCTGTAACCGCTGGGAGAAGCACAGCAGTGCTGTGGCCTATACGCGGATCCTGCCTGCTTGCCTTGGTTCAGTGGTGAGGCACTGGTGCTATAGAACCGACGTGGTTACTTCAGTGATGATGCTGAGCTGTTCCTAAAATAGCCTTCAATTCACAGTCCACCTTTTTGAGTGGCCCGTGCAAAAGGAGCCTTTAACATTTTAAGGAAGCTTTCTTGAAGTATTCCTTGGCCAGATTCTGTAAAAGAAAGAAAGTTAAAGGCTAAAGCAAAAAAAAAGTTAATGAAAGTTACAGCAAACTCATAATATTTCCTACTAAAAACTCTATGACTGTAAGATTACACTATAGATAATAAAGGAAGAGGATATTTAGAAATCATACATGCATGGTCAGGTGGTCTGGCAAAATTTGAAGATTTGCTAACAGTCTGATCTCATACATGGGCTTGTCAACAATTCTGCAGCCTTGGGCAATCTTGAAGTATCTTACACAATTCTTTGTTCCACTTTCTGCCCTGCTTCTTTGTTGTCACCCATCACCCATGAGAAATGTGGCAAGTTACTGGGTTTCTGCATTGGATAGAAGTGCTTTTTCAGTGAGGCTGTCCCAGCGCAGCCTTAGCTTGGCACCCTGGGACTGCCATAAATGTGGGTTATAGCAGGCTCCTAAGGAGACTGAATGCCCGGGCAGAAGGTTTCCTAGGACAGACAAACAAGATGACTTTGCTAATCTTTTTTGGCAAAAAGGGATTGGGTTCTTCCTTTTTATTTTATTTCTTTTTTTGTCTTATGCTGACAGCATGATATGCTAATCACAATGTGTTGTAACTTAGGAGATGTGGATAGACAGGTGCCAGGTGAAATTTTAATACTAAGTGGCTTTTGATTCTTACAGAATGAAAAATCCATCCACTAGTAATACATCATTGAGGTTGTATGGTGTGAAACATTTTGAATGACTTGTCAGGGAATATAAATAACATACACAGTGATACTACGTATACTTAGAGAGCTGACTCGGATGAATGCCAGTATTGTTAGTGAAAAATTCCAAGTGGTCATTAGTACTGTGTTTCTGTGGCATAGAGGAATCAAAGAGGATTAGATCAGAGCAGGCACCCACATGGTGTCTGCAGGCCAGCTCTGTGTTGTGAAGTCAAAAGGAATCTTCACTCCAGTATTTTGCTGAGACAAAATACTCAACACTGAAGTTAAAGGAGGAAAGGTTCATTTGGCTCACAGTTTGTGGAGCTTTCAGTCCCCACAGAGGAGAAACAGTTCATGGCACGCAGAAGGTAGCAAAGTAAGCAAGGGATGACCACAGCTCTTTTTATATCTTATCCAGGCTGCCTAGGGTGGGTATCACACCCTTGAGCCTAATGCCTTTGAGCCTAGCATTGCACCATGAATCAATCCCAGTGTCACACACTCTAGATCCAGCCACCTCTGAAAAAGCACCACCTATGACCGCATGAGATTGCAGGGAGGCATCTAGACACAAGCCATAACACCCTGGTTCTCTTGTAGTTTGAGTGAAATGGAAGAGGAGAGAAAAGGGTCAGAGAAGAGGTCATGGAAAGACTACTGCTTTAACTTTCACACTGTTTAAACTAGAAGCTTGTTTCTCTCATGAAATGAGAAGTGAATTTATTTCTTCACAGCAAATTTTCTGTTAGTAAACTATAATTCAACATTAACAAGCACCTAGTATGGCCTTAGGACCCAGATAGAGGTAATGCTTACATGTGTGATTGTTGATATTATTCCTAATAGATTGTTCATCTGGTTATCAGAGATTTCTGTCCTGCTGGTTTATCTGCCAAATGGAATAATCGAATCATAATTACTCACCAGTGTATTTCTAAATTTTAAGTCACTGGATGTTTTAGGGCCATTAATGTGGAATAAATACCAGGGTCTTAAAATAATACCAGAGATTCAAAGATAACATTTGATGTCTTTTTACCATTTATTATTTAACTTGATTTTTACAATTATCCCCATTTACTGCATATGGAATCCAAGGTAAAGGTTAAGTAATTTCCTAAAGACCACCAGGCTAATCACAGGCAGAGCCAGAATTAGAACCCATGTCTCTGGATGGAGTGCATTGCTCTATTCTGTCTTCCCTTAAATATGTAAGAATTAAATTATAGTTTCTAAAGATAATTTTTAGTCTAATAGTTATAAATTTTCTATTGAATGTATAATGTTAGTGTCTTGGCCAGTTAATTTCATTTTATTTAAAGATTTAAAAAACTTATTATATAAGTTATTCATAGTCGGGGCTGGGGATTTAGCTCAGCGGCAAAGCGCCTGCCTGGCAAGCGCAAGGTCGTGAGTTCGGTTCCCGGTACCAGAGAAAAACCAAAAAAAAAAAAGTTATTCATAGTCATAGTAAAAAAGTGACAAAACTGAGAGACATAAAAAAGAAAATTTATCTATCATCCAGTATTCAATACCAGTCTATCCCCTTCTGGGTATTTTTATGGGTATGTGGATGTGTGTACATAGGGTCTACTACTTTGTAACAGTATGTCATAAATATATTTCCATATCAATATGAACATACTTTTGCAAGTTAATTTTTAATAATAGCATTACTATTTCATTCCATGGATGTCTTTTTTATTTATTTAATCCCCAGTTAGATGTTTAGGTTACCATTGGATTTTTTAAGATTATATTTAGCAGCCTTATACATGTCTTTATGCATTTCCCTCATCTAGAAGTGAAACTGGTAGATCGCTAAGTTTACATTTTTTTAGGGTTTTGATACATATTAGCATATCCATTTTTGTGTGGCATGTGCCAGTTTATACAATGACATGAGCCGTGTGTATGCTGCTCCGTTATGCTCTTGCCGGTACTATTTCCCTGATTGATTGACTGATTGATTTGGTACCAGTATTGAACCTCAGGACCTTGTGCTTGCCAGGCAGGTGCTTTTGCCACTCAGCTATATCCCTGGCCCTATTTTCCTGATTTATAACAGGAAACTTATGGATTTCAATTTATTAATCTATTAATTTCCCAATTTGAAAATCTATAAATTGTATCTCATTGCTTTGAGATTTCATTGAGTGTTAAGAGTTGAAGGTCTTTGCACACATTTACTGCCTGTACCTTTTGTTTTGTCTGTTTAGGTCATTTGTGTATATTTTTTGCTGGAGTATTTTTCTTGCTCTTAAAACTTGTTATGCATCAAGTGTAGCAAACCTATTTTGACATTTAAATTATATATTCTCCCCAGCTTTTTGTCATTTAAGTGTATGGGGTTTTTGGGTTGTATTTTTGTAGTGCTGGAGGTTAAATCCAAAGCCTCACACATGCTTGGCAAGTGATCTACCACTGACATAGAGCCCCAGCCCCTTTTTTTTTAAGATAAGGTCTCACTAAGTTGCTCAGGCTAACCTCCAACTTGTGGTCCTCGTGCTTCAGCCCTCCTGAGTAGCTGGATTACAGGTATGTGCTACCTTGCCTGGCAATTTTTTCCCCTGCAGGAAAATATGTTCTTAGATCTGTCTGCCTTTCCCTGCTTCCTTTGGAGCCCTTTACCACTCCATATTTACAAAACCATCCACCTTAATTTTCTTCAGTCCTTTAGTACTTGTAATATTTTATTCTGTTATTCAAGTTATTTTGGTACCTGATCTAAAGTGAAGTTGTTGTATTATTATTCCCTGACAACTTGACCAAATACTCTAACATGAGAAATTTCTTCACTAGAGCAAAACATACTGAGTTATTAGTAAACTTGAATCTGTTTCTGGCCTTTTCGCTGTGTTGTAGAATCTGTGTGCTTGTCTAGGTATCCCACTGTTGTGATCGCTGTGGTGTGGGGAGCATTGCTATAGGCGGTCCATATTTTTCTACTGTTAGCCTAAAGCAGTGATGGCAAACCTGTAAGAGATGAGTGTCCAAACTGCAACCCAAACCCACTTATTTATCCCAAAGTGCCAACACTGCAATTCAACCTGAATACTGAGGTTTAGTTTAGAAAAAGCAACTCCTACATTAACATCTTTTGTCTTAAAAACAATAATACACGTGCCATAGCTTCACCACCTCTGGCCTAAAGGAACTGCTCAGTAATGGAGGTCTTTGAACTCTGCCTAGATGTGAGTTTTGTTACTGGTTCCCATGTTGGGGAGCTGATCATCTGGGATGTCCTGGACTGGACCGTGCAGGCCTATGAACGCAACTTCTGGGACCCATCTCCACAGCTGGATGTCCAGCAAGAAATCAAACTCTGTCAAAAACCAAATGACGTTTCTATTCATCATTTCACTTGTGATGAAGAGGTAACAATAAAATGTATACATCTAATTTCTGATTTTTAAAATTTAATCCCATTATGGATATAGAAAATATTCCTTTTGGTTTTAAGTTTTGCTTTAAAATGGTCTGGTAGTTTACAAAGATAGTGCTACTCACATTTTTAAAAAGTCACTTTAATCATTGCTTCCAATCTTTAGGCAAAGGAAGGGTAAAGATAGCCACAGGTTTTGGTGCATTACCTGGAAAGGTAAAAGAAGCTTAACATTTTAAGAATGTTTCTCTTTTAGTCCGTCAGCATGCTAGGTAAGATCACTGGGTGAGAACGGCCCATCTCAGATCCCCATCCTTCATGGTGATGTTCTGCAGCACTTATCCTGGAAAAGATTAGTGTCAGCCAGTCAACTGAGATTCAGTCAACTGAATCTTGGTTTGGATCTGAGAAAAAAATTGCTTCTTACAACCCAAGGGCCTCAGAATGTGTTTAAAGGAGTTATTTTCCTAAATGTAATAAAAAACATTTGTAACCTTTGTGGAAAGGGGGTGGGGGAAGCATTTCTTTCCCTCTGTCCTGTTGTTTAACCTTTCTAATCACATGCATGTTACTCTTTTTATTAAAAAATGTCAGTAGTGTTCTGGAGAGGGAAGGTATTTTTTTTTCTTTCCAACACTTACTGGAAGAAGAAAAGAATAAGAGGAAGATTTTAAAAGTACATGTGTACTCAAAGATTGCTTTTTTGAGTCCCAAATTTGTTTTTTAAAAAACCCCAAATATATATAGTAGAGATAGTATGGTCTCAGAAAAGATGGAGACTAGATTGCTTAGAGACCTAAAAACTACATGTATGTTTATCTTTCTCACTTTTGAGAAAAGTATTGCACAGCTTTTTCCGGTCCAGATCACTCCACCTTTAGATCCTGATCGGCGTGGGCGTGCTCTGGTTTGGCTGATACAGGTCTGAGTTGGCTCAGAGCCTGTCCTGAAGCTCAGGGGGTCCAAGGTCTCTGCAGGAAGCAGACAGTCGGTGGGGGTTTCTGAATGGTCTGCTCTTGAGGTACCAAGAATGAGTGATTCCATGGTGAGTGCTACCTGGAGTCTAGTAACGCACGAAATAACTTAGAAGCTGGGTGCTGCGGTGTGAGGAAAGAGCAAAGACCTGGAATAGCATGACCCGGATTCCGACGCTGACTCCGTGTCTTGTTTCTTGTGCCTTCAGTCCTTTGGCAGTTTTAAGTTGGTCATCTGGAAAACGGCAGTAATGCTTGCCTTCCCTGCCTTAACAAGATGGTATGGGCTGAAGTGAAATGCACATTTGTGAGCATGCTTTTAAAAGGTTAAGGTGGTTTTAGTAAGAAGGTGTTTGTAATATCACATTTGGAAGAATGTTTTTCTGACTCCTTCAGAGGCTCCTAGATGATAGCGCCTCTCTCCAGCATGTGCTGTTCTGTGTCATGTGTCGGTCTCTTGATTAGATGTGAGTGCAGAGTAATTGTGCTCACTTTTTCCAGGCTAAGTAATTTTCCTGAGGATGCAGTGTTAGTGGGTGAAGCCCCAGGTGTCCCCTAGCAGCTTCGGCCACAGGCCGGTCCCATCTCCTCCTTGAACGGTTAGAATTGCAGAGCTCCTTGCGTCTGCCCGCTGTGCACGCTGAGCTTTCCCGGGTGCTTGGGACAGTTTTGGACTTTAGAGGGCAGTGCGGTAATTCGGGCTGAGGGTTGAAACAGAGTAGGTAATGGCCTTCTGATCTCACACAAGGCTGGAAATCTGTTCACCGGGGAGTAAGCACCAGTTTTATGCCCATTTCTGAACTTTCCCCTCCAGAATGTGTTTGCTGCAGTTGGAAGGGGTTTATATGTGTATAACCTTCAAATGAAGCGTGTGATTGCCTGCCAGAAGACTGCACATGACTCAAATGTCCTGCACATCGCCAGGCTGCCAAACAGGTACAAGTGCTCATCTGTTCTGCCACAGATGAAAGAAAGTTATGGTCCGCGGGGCCACCAGGGCAATTTCTCAAGTGGCCCAGTTTCCTGGCTCTGAGGCTTGACCCATTGTGTTCTTTTGGAAATGAAGAATGCCCTCTAGCTCTCTCCAGCAGAAGAGGTGGTAGCAAAATATGACAAAATTTACAAGAACAAGGTTCAAATGAATTACACTGAATTTTATGGTAAGAGATCCTTTAAAAATTGATACTTAATAGAAGTAAATATCAACTGGGACATGTACAGTCATTTTTCTTTTTCTATTTCCCATGAACCTACCTTTTTGTTGTTGTGTGTTTATAGCCAGAGACAAATAGTCTCCTTCATGCCTAATGCAACCAAGTGGGTGTTCTCTTCTCATGGTGGGTTTGGCTGTTGAATTTCTGGGGACAAAATTCCAGGAAGGGCATAGCCTTACTTTCTGTATTATATATATTGTCTGTTTAGAGGGAGAGACATCGTGTAGAAACACAGTAAGAGGAGGGAGGGACTGCAAGCTGTTCAGGACATTGTGGGAGTGGAACTCATACCTTGTTAGCCAGAGTGCACTTTCTGAGGTGGAGATGATGCATTTGTAGTATCTGAGCCAGCGTCACATAGTGTAGCTGTGCCTTTCCTGAAGAATGCTTTTAGTTTGCATTGCACTGCCACGTTCAGTTCTTCTCAGCTCCTGCCAAGAGCTGAATAAAAGCAGCTAAGGGTTCCTGGATTTCTCTCACTGCCCATTTAGCATTTGGGCCTCCATGGTGGTGTCTTTGTGTCACTGGCTTTCTGTGCTGACAGGCAGTTAACCTCCTGCTCAGAAGATGGCAGTGTACGCATTTGGGAGCTACGGGAGAAGCAGCATCTGGCAGCTGAGCCAGTACCAACAGGTGTGTGTCTTTCCCAAGAGGGCACCGCTTCCCCACTCTCCCTGCACCTGTCTCTCTGTCCCCCATTTTCTCATCAAAAGACAGCAGAAAGGTGATTACATGAAATCACAGGAATACTCCAGAACATGCTCCAAACAGGCATCAGGTGTTTACTGGAGTATTGTAAGTAATTGGGACACGGGACTGACATCTTCATGCTGCCCTCATGTAGAACTGCCTTAATGAGGATTTCATTGTTCTGAAGGAAACTTACCATTTTCTAGTAACCTGAATGACCAAGTGGCCTAATGAAGTAATTGTTCATTTGAATTGTCTGTGATTTTGACGGATACACAAAATTTATACCATCAGGTGTGAGACTGTTCTCTAGCGTTGAAGCATTATCATTAACATCAAACTCAGTTTATGGAAAAACTCACTTTTCTTTGTGTTTATATCATAATTCATGAGCTCTTGACATTTGGGTGTTTGGTTTGGAAAACACCGTTGCTGTTTAAATGGCTTGGTTACCAACCCTCGATGAGGAAGCAGGTGCTGCTGCCTGTGGTTTCTTCTGGGTCTTTCAGCTTCCACGAGGTCCTAGGGTACTGTGTGCGGCACAGAGAGATTTTCTTCTATGTTTTTGCTGGAATGTATTATTTTCTTTTGACAGATACTGCCATTCGGCCCTTTTCACTTCTCTTTTATTCTGTCTTTTTTTTGTCACGTGAATATGCCTTCACGAATGGGTGTGATCAGTGAAAAGCTGAACAAACCTGGTTGGAAAGATGAAACAAAATAACGTATTTTAAAAGCTCTAGCATGGTACCTTGTACTGTCCATGTAGTCCTTAACTAGTATAAATGCAGAACATTTTTGCATTTTCTGTTTTTCTGGTCGCATTTGACAATTCTCAGAGCACAGTAGTTTGGGGAATGACTGAAATGATTGTGTTTTTTAGGTTTTTTTAATATGTGGGGATTTGGAAGAGTGAACAAACAAGCCAGCCAGCCTGTTAAAAAGCAACAAGAAAATACCACTTCCTGTTCACTGGAGCTCATTGGTGATCTCATCGGACACTCGTCCTCCGTGGAGGTATAGCTTACAGTAGGCCCGTGCCACACGCTCTGCACAGCCAGCTGCTCTCAGACAGGCTGTGCTTTCTCAGCTGTAGGTCTGTGTTGGGTCGCACACAGAATAGCACAGGCTGTACTGTGTGCCGCGAGGATCTCCTTTACAGAGATAGGCTCTGAGGAATCTGCTTTTGAGAATGGACAGAGCGTTTTTGAGATGGGGACAGCTGAGTAAAAGCAGTGTGAGCGATGTGGAGTATGTGTGATACAGATGAGACATGGGAGGTACGAAGTTTAAGCTTTAATGAATCTAATTCAAAGAGTCTTCATCAGATTCATGAACAGAGTGTTGTTTTCACTTGTCTCTGATGGGTAATCTGTTAGCTTTATAAAACCCCATACTGCCTGGGTACACGCCTGTAATCCCAGCACGGAGGGAGGCTGAGACAGGAGGATTGTAAGTTTGAGGCTTGCATAAACAAATTAGGGACACTGCGTCTCAAAATTAAGAAAAATTAAATGAAAAGGGCTGGGGATGTAGCTGAGTGGTAGAGCACCTCTGGGTTCAACCACAAAAAAAGACACCCCTGTACCTTATCATTGTACATATGAAAATTAGTTGACACAAGGTGCATAAAATTCTGACTTGTGGAAATCCAGATACATTCATGTTTACTACAAGCACCGTTGCGTGAAATGAGTAAGACCACTGAAGAGGCAGAGGTGACTGGAACTAGTAGCAGTGTAACAATCACAGTAACAGTGTAATGGTAACGGTTTAAGACGAGGCCTAATTAATGCAGTTTTCAACTGTTCTCCTCTGTCTTATGGCCAGCAAGTAACAGACTGCTTTTCATTGGAAAGGGCTTCGTTCTTATGCTGGCTACTGAGCACTTCCTGCATTCCAGGAATATGCTCCAGCCCCTGGGTTATAGAGACACTAGATGCTGAGGTTCACGGAGAGACACATGGTGCAGTGCTAGCACATGTGAATCTCGCACTGTTGTGGAGAGGAGGGAGACAGACCTAGGAGGCTGTTCTCACTGCTGCTGCTGGACCCAGATGAGTAGCAGACAGTGAGTGCTCGGGGCTTCGAGAAACAGCTCTTGCTGAAGCCTGTACATGCCGGACGTGAGGCTTGCACTGAAGCAGGAAGGTTGGTAGGATTGCCTTTGTCACCACCGCTGCCTGCTGTAGGGGCCCGTCTGTCTCACTCATCTTTGCGGTGCTCTCAGGTAGCTCAGCCTTTTGGTTTGTGTTCTGCCTGGTGGCTGTGGGTATAGTTCAGCATGGTGAGTAGGCAGCATGGGTGACAAAGGGCAAAGACAGCATTTCTGTGGGAGCAGAATGGCTGGGAAAGAGCCAATTATATGTGACTTATCAACGCTTGAAATTTTTCAGGAAAAATGCAATAATTTTACACTGAAATAAAAAGTGTCCTAGGTATATCTTAAAGCCCATGTATTAAGCCAGTTTTACATTTCTCTTGCTGAAGTTCCCATAATCAGTAGTTTCAATTTTTCTTTTCAGATGTTTCTGTATTTTCAAGATCATGGACTAGTGACTTGCTCTGCCGATCATCTCATTATTTTGTGGAAAAATGGAGAGCGAGAATCTGGATTACGCAGTTTAAAATTATTCCAGAAACTAGAGGAGAATGGTGACTTGTACCGTGCTGCCTAGTGTAACGAATCAGGAACACGTGGATGAACCTGCAGCATCCAGTACAGAGTTACACCAAGAACCACCAGTGCACTGATCAGTTAAATTTGCAATTTTTGACAAGCTGTATAATTCTGTGTGTTTGAGTTCTTTTGCGTGCATCTTCCCAGGTGTTTCTAGTACACTCACCAGGGTGCGCACTGATTGGCTCCCGCGGGGGTGTGCTGCTGACCTAGTGACTGCCAGGTTTGGAGTTTCTTAATGTGAACCTAGACCCTTTGTGAAGTGGTGGGACTAGAGGAAGCAGCGTTCTTAAGTTTTATCTTTGGTTTCCTTTGAAGAATTCTTGTGAGAAGTGTAGCCTTTCTCCTGCAGATTTCTCTGGGAGCAAACTTGACTCTTAACCAAAAAACTATACTACTTAAGCACAGTGATTTTTGGTACTAAATTTTTTCAAATCATTAAAACATTTTTTTCGTTCTAGCTACTAAGTTCTTTTGTACTCGATCCAATCCATAGGCATCTGATGAGGGTGTATTTCTTTTCTGACATGAATTTGCCTGACCAGCCCCTGGCCAGATGAGTACTGGGCCAGCAGCTGCTGCGCAGGTGTGCCAACGACGAGCGCTAGGTCAGCATCAGCGGGAGGCCCGCGCTCCGGGGCAGCCCCGAGTGCCTGCTCCATCTGAGCCTGACGAGGTGGGAGATGCCTGCGTCCCTCGTGTGTCCGCTGCAAGTGGCTCATCTTCATCACTCCACCAGCTTTGTGACAAATCCTCTCTCACTTTCAATGCTGAAAAATAAAAGTTAAAAAGTATTCTATGTGGGTTTAATTATGGAATTCTTCTTAAACTGCCAATTAAAGAATCCTGAAGAGTAAGGAAAGGGCAAGGTGACTGGTGTTAGATGACTGATCCTCCTCAAAGAAGCCTTGTGCAGATCTGTGCAACACAGACACACACACACACACTCTTGCCCTCCCTAACTGATAAATTATTTTCCCTAGTTTTAAGCCTCCCTACTCCCTGCAGGCAGACTAGCACAGGTAGACTCACTGGGTCGCCCGGCACCACGATGCAGTGAGGCAGCCAGGGCCCGGAGCTTAGCGTGTGTTATAGTGTCTGTTTCCATCACTGTGCAGCTGACAGACAAACGAAGGCGACTGGAATGAGAAAGGCTTCGTGGACCTTGTGGTGAGCACGGGAGGAGACAGCATGCTGTTCCCAGCCACTGCTGCAGGGTTAACTCACAGTGGAAATAGCCTTATGGAAAAATGGATTAAAACTTAAGCTAGTTCCTTCACGGCACAGAAGAAATGAACATGACAACTGGCAGTGCCTCTGAGCCAGCGAACTGCTGTCACCAACCCCTCCCAGCGTCCTCCCAGCGCAGCTTTCTGACCTTTGATGGGGCCGTGGCAGTGCAGGCAGCGTCCTTCTCCAGGCAGAAAGGTGGTCTGATCTGGGGCTCAGGCAGACTCATGTAAAGCTTTTCCTGCTCTGCTCATGGGCTTTTCTTTGCAAACTCTGTGTTAGGTCGTGAGTTAAAGATGTTTTCTACAGTTGTACAACGATCAATTCATACATTTTTAAACTATTTTTAACTTGCTCTGGGTTAGTGTTTCATGAGTTTTAGGAACACACGGCACCATAGCAAGCCCGAATCACTACACTCTAGGTGACTGGTTGTCCACAAGGGGGAAGCGGAAAGTTCAGAGGGACCCTCACCGAGTTGGCAAAGCTGAGGGCGTTTGTTTTCCCGAGTGCCTTGAGTTAGTGTGAAGGGAGCTAGGAGCACAGCCGGACAGGAGAGTCTGGTAGGGACCCAGGCCCATCACTACTCAGCAGTAACGTGTAGATAGCTAAGAGTTGAATTTTCAATTTACAAGTGATTACTGCGTTCACTATATATGATGGGTGTTTCTTCCATTTCCCTAGCTTAGTTTCCAGTACTTACTGATACTTACAACCCCAGAACTGACACTATGTTACTGTGCCTTGTCATTTGTATTTCAAATACTTACACCTCTTCTCTGGCTGTATTCTCACAACACAATTGAAAAGCAAAGCTCACCTTTGCCATTTCTCCCGAGTTGAGTGGGCCTTAGTGGGACTTGTTCCTGCCCAGGAGGTAAGGCAGTCCTAACTCAGGCCAAGAACCGTCAAAATGTTCAAGTCCAGTAACAGTGCTTCACAACTGACTTCTGGCTGGAGTAACAGGTGTGCAGAGACTAGGACCATTTTGTAGTTTCCTAAATTAATATGTCTTCCCTCATGTCATATTATGTTGGTTATTGCCAATAAACCAACTACTTGGAAGAATATACCAGTTAATCAGGGCTTAAAGCTGTACTTGGCTGTCTTTTTTTTTTTTTTTCTTTTTTCTTTTTCTTTTTCTCCGAGACAGGGTTTCACTCTGCACTTCAGGCTGGCCTCGGGCTTGGCTGTCTTAAAGCATGTAATAGCAGAATTTGAAGTTAAATTAATTTCATGTAACACTGAGTAAGAAATAATGTTTCATACAGAAACTGATAAATGTTACTTACCACATGGAACCGAAAGCAAGCCGGTCAGAAGGAAAGATTATTGTCCTTACCTCCAGCAAACTTCTGAAGCCTAGGCAAATTATTTCATAAGCTACAAATCCTTAATATGGGATTCTGGCATCCTTATTTTAATGTGTTATGAAAACAAAGTGTGTTGACTCATGAAATAAAGGACACTAAACCCAGAATTTGAAATTATGAAAAATTTAGGCCAGAGAGGTAAAATAAAAACAGCTGCTGGGGATGAGAAATGGCTGTAGGAGTTTAGTTACAGGTACTTCACAAAACACTTTGTCACACATTTGCACAGTGCGGCATTACAACACAAAGCCGGCCGCTGTCCCAACCAAGCACGTTCTCATCGCCTAACAAAAATAATTTAAATACATTTCTTTGCATGGGATTGTCATATATGTTTCCATTTTTTCCATACAAAACATAGAAAAAAAAAACATTGGCACATTATGTAATGAGAAGTCATTTTTTTTTCTTTCCATGTACCAGTTTCACGTGTTCTGCATTTTGATTTTCACTTGGAAAAAGAACTACTGATTCAGTTATTTCAGCTTCTGTTTATATCCCTTAGAAATGCAGCACAGGGTACAGAGAAAGAAAAGATATTTTGTTTACTACATTTCTAGTGTTCACAATGCGTAGAGAAGGGCTGGCGATGAAAGGAAAATCCCAAGTCTGACTTGATGGAGATCACACAAAGTTGTGAAAAGAGCTGTATAAAAATATGCACTTGTGCTTCAGAAGCTTTTAGCATACAGTTAATAGCTTAAAATAGTATTTACTCCCTTCCCATAGTCTTATTTGCTGATGTATCTGTACATCCTGCAGTGCCTTTTATCTGCCACTAGAGCAGACAGCATGATCCAAATATAGACAAGTTAAATATATCTGAACCTTGAAACATCCCCATGCCTTCCCCAAATATATACGTAGAGGTGGCGCACGGTACAACAAACTCCATGGGCTTAGACCCAGGAAATTTAGATTGTTTTAATAAAAATTTTAAACAGCAAATGTATATAAATTTTTTTCTTTTTTAAAAAATGCTTGTCCAAGGGCATTCAGATTTGATGGCTTTTGTATAATAGCATAATGCCTCATGCCTGCCTCAGTAAGCCAGAAGGGAATCGCGTGGGCCCCCCACGCCAGATGCCGCCCTGCCCCTTCACAGATGACTTCTGTTTACACCAAAGAGGGCCACACAGGCTTCTGGCATCTGGGAGCCGGCGCTCACCAGGCTAAGTCTGCCCTCTAACTGGGGTGTCACACCACGGAACAGAAGACCACCTCGCCATGGAAGCTGTGAAACTAACTAGTTTATCAATAATTTGGTCCTAGGTGTTTTGCTCGTTTTATGTAACTTTTTCCTTAGGTATATCCGTTCAGATAAGCTTCTTAGGAATCCTGCAGACTGATGCTCTTGAGGACAGTCAAGCTAAATAGCAATGGTGATTTTTACGGGAAGAGATGAACCAAACACTGGCTAAGCTAGTGGGGCTGGCCTCATTGGCACTGGGTCTTGCTGTGTCCTGCAGTTACAGTGACTCAGCTCCATAGTGTGACAGGCACACAGGACGATGGCACAAGAGATCTGCCAAGTGTTTGTTCTGCTACTAAATGACTATTCAAAAGAATGTGTGTTTTTCTTCATGGTATTTAACTTGCTAAACTGAAATTTGAGGACTTGCATGATTCAAGGTCAAATATCAATCATTAGCTCCTTAGCCTACACACGTCAGGGTGTTACAAAGGACAGCCTCCGCGTACACGCCTGTGATTCACAGTGCCCTTGTGGGAGAGGTCGCTGCTCTGCAGGCTTAGCTGTCAGATGGCAGCCTCAGACTTTTGCACTTCAGGTCATCTAATGTCTTCCAGTGTTTGTAGTTATCGGCCAGGTGCTGCATGAGGGCTGGCAGGTGGGCGAAGGCTGCAAGGACATGAAAGAAAGGGAAGCTGTCAGATCCCAGGTTTCTCTGGGACAGGTAGAGTGAGGTACAAGGTGAGGCCTTAGGTCGCAGCAGACATACAAGTGCAGGAAAGCCAGGTCATTAAATGCTGAAGCACAGGTCCTTTGGATTAGCTGAGAAGGTGTTCATCTGTGACATTATCAAAAGAACCTGTGACTCAGAATAGACATGGGATTATTTTGCATTATTTCAATGCTAGAATAAAATCGCTGTGCACTTTGGACACATGTCACTTGAAGAAGTGAGCGCTTGTCTGTCTGGTTATCACACACCCACCTGGCAAGGGGCCAGTGCAGGGAAACATAAATTACACATGACAGTTGCATGTGCCTACCTGGCCACAAACAGCTGACGGCTAACGTTTTTTTACTATTTCATTTATCTTTAGGCCCAGCCTGAGTTATGAAGGGCAGTCTGCACGAAGGCCGACAGAACACTGCACTGCTGTGGGTGTTGAAGCAGTAGCCAACTTACCATCCCAAGCATCAAACATGTCTGTGATGAAGTAGTCAATGAAGGAGATCTGGGACTTGGGGATGCTGCAGGTGTTGCGGTCGAACACGGGCATCACCACAGGGAGCCCCTGTCTCTTCTCCTCATCCGTCTGTAAGAGAAAGCACCGCCACACAGGGCCGTGGGGCACGGAGACACCTTCACAGTCACAGCCCGCGTCTCAGGAGCACCTGCTAGCGTGCTCCTGGGCCCGTTTTAACTGCAAAGGAACAGGCTCAGCAAGGGCCTGAGACCTCGAACAACTGCAGGACGAGCCTCGGTGTCTACGTCGGGTGGCCCGACTCAGTCTCTCCCTTTTGATGTTACCCACCGCCCCTCCTGAAGCAGTGACCTCAGGGTACTTAGCCCCCTTTCTGTGATCTGCTGTAGTCAATTCTGAGTCCAGCAGACACCCCTCCTGCCCTACTGCCACGCACATTACATCAGGTGAGCAGCTGCGGTGGGCGGGGCTGCCAGTGCCACGATCCCTAGCCAGAGTCGCTGGTGCCTTCCACTGCTTGCAGCTTTCAAAACACTCAAGCATGGCCTCTTTGAAGTGCTAATAGCTACTAATCTTATGACATTTTGACCTCTGAGTACATGTCTCACCTCCTGCGTGACAAATAGGGCAGAGTGCCCTTGTGCTGGATGCCCCAGTGTGATAGCGTCTCCAGGAAGAGCACTCCTGCAGTCGAGTCATGGCTGAACAGGGCTTTTCTACACAAAACACTGTTTTTACTCCAAGGAATGGCAAACTGATTGCTCAGATCTGGGCATTAACCAAGCAGCTCTCTCAAGTACCATGTGTGGAATCTCAGTACTACACACACGAACGCCTACGTACTTGTGTGTAAGGACATAGCCACTAAGCTCCATGGCCACACACCAGAAGCAGCAGACCCAAGGCTTCCTTTGTAGGCCACACTGGCTTGTTGGTACATTCCTTTTAAGAGGATGTCTAAATAAGAAGCTTCCAGCAGAGAATTTAGGAGGGTTCTCTCCCACTCCCATTCATGTGCAGAAAGGAACGAGGAGTGAGATGTCACATCCTCACTCTAGGGCCCAGGAAGCCCGTTCATGGCCTCCTACCAGCTCATGGCTCTGCTTGCTCATTTCAGGTCAGCTGGCAAAGCAACCTGAAAAATCTCCACCGGTCTTCAACAAGTAGTGTGCCCTCCACCCCGCTGTGGCCAGCTCAGAGCAACCTGTTCTCCTTCTCCCAAGTTCAGGCTCCTCCCAGCCCTGAAAGCTGCAATTCACAGACTGGGATCTCAGGCCCAGCCTGCTAGACATCGCTGCCTCAGCCCAAGCATGTCCCATGCAGCTGTGTGTCTTGTCCCGCGTCAGTCCCTAGGGCCTGCTCTCTGAAGGTAAGGCTGCATTCCAAAAGGTACCTGGCAGTACAGACCCTGCTTTTTGAGTTTTTCTTGATTAATTCCTCTTTTCACTGCTGCAGCTAAAGTGAACTGCATATTGCTGCTGTCCTGATATAAAAATTCTATTTTCCCTCCTTATTTTGCTTAGGATTTTTTCCCCAGAAAGTGTTTCCCTATTTCCACATCTCTAAGTCCTTAAACAAAAAAAAATCACTACCATAAAGCTTCCTTTTTAGGAAGTGTGATTAAAAAGATGTGTATTTAAAATTTTAAAAATTTATTACTGTAAAAGACACACTGCCATTAATCCCCCCCCAATACTATCCCAGCCTGCTTTGAAGACACTTATCCCATCATTCTTGCCACTTTCTGGAGCTGTGCTGCAGTCCTCTTTCATGAGTGTCTAGTGTGCTGCCATGGTGCCTACAGGTCCCATGTCAATTGACATGTTTCCCTTTCATGGTCATTTTGCCTTTAGGGAAGACCCAGAAGTCACACGGTGTCAGATTCAGGGAATAAGAAGAGAAAACACACAGTAATTTCTTTTGCAAGCCTGCTTTTCATTGGATGGCACTCAGGAGCAGTGTTCACTGTATTTTTTTTCAATCATCACACCTCATAGAGACACACATGAAAAAGGACTTTAGAAATGCTTCAAAATGTCCAAGAATGATGGGATAAGAGTGTTCAAAGTGGAATAGGGGGATTAATAGCAACTTGTCTTAAGTAGCAATTTAAAAGACATTTTAAACATTCACTGCACTTTTCCATCACCAGTTGTATCTAGAAAAAAAGTCGGTTTGGATTTTGGTGCCCTTCAGATAAACACTTCCTTCAGGTGCACTTTGCATGTTACTAGTGTTCTCTCCGGGGCCGGACTGGGAGCGACCCTCAGGTGGGGATGTTACACCCACGTCTGTCCCACAACGTGCCATGCAGACACTAGTAACCCAGGGAATTCATGAGCTTCCTAGTTCTTGTGCAAGTTGGGGGTCTGAGGATTTGAGGATGTGAATGTACTGCTAAAGGCTGGGTCTGTCCGCTCCCCTAGGCTGCGTGGCCCCCAGAGTCTGCTAAGGACTGTCAGCTGCGCCCTTCCCAGAGGGGGAGCTGGGACTGCTCCGAAGCTGCTCAGCAGGAGGGAACCCCACAGCCGTGCCCAGCGCCACCGCTAGTGCCGTGCAGGCTCCCCAGACAGTGCACCTGCGCGAAGTACTCCTCGGAGATCCTCCCGGCCCACTCGATGCACAGGTCCAGGGGGCGGCAGGGGTTGGCCACGTCTGCACACTTGATCATCATGCGCTTGATGAGGATCTGGTTCTCCGGGAAGCTCTTCCCCACCGGGCCACACTCACAGTCACCGCCCTCAATCTGGAAGACAGAGGCGCAGCTCAGGGCTGGCTCACACGCAGGGCTGCCGCACTGACTCACCAGGCTCAGCCAGGCTCAGTGAAGGAGGTTTTTCCAAACCTTCACTCCAGCAAGATACAGACACAGCCTTTACCAAAGGCGCAACACGTCAACCCAGTCTGAGATCCTCCCGTACACCCTGCCCCTCCTCCCCAAAGGCACAGGCTGCAGGCAGTGTCGAGCAGTTCAGCAAGTCCCTTATGAACCTAGGCGCTTCTCCCAGTTCTTCAGAAAAAGTGTAACAGCACAGCCCTGAGCTACTTTAAAGCACTGAAGGTGAGGACACTGCCCATACACGTGACCCAGAAGTTATTAACGTTTTTCCAGTTTTACTTTTATTCACCCACGTTTGCAGTCCGTGAAGATCACCTTCCTCGTGGGAAGTCAGTGCATGGACACAACACATCCCAATTCTTTCCTCACCCCTTTCCCCCTCCACCCCTTCATCTCTTGATCCCCTTCCCATCTGAAAAAGATTCGTCTCCCTACTTCCTATTATCATCTAGTTTGCTCTTTATTTATATTTTGGGTTTCTCTTAGAAACCATGTGATATTTAAGCTTGTGTGTCTGGTTTATTTCACTTAGCATTATGGTCTCATTTCCCTACAAATGACTCAGGTTTATCCTTCTTTATGGCAGAGTAGTACTCCACTGTGTATAAATACCACATTTTCTTTGTCCATTCATCTGTTGATGGACATACAAGCAGCTTCCAAGATGTAGCTATTATGGGTTGTGTTGCTACGAACACATATGTATGGATCACTGTAATATGGTGTCTTTAACTCTTTAAGGAAGATACTAAAAGAGGCCACATGGAATTTCTAGTTTTAGTTTTTTTGAGGAATCTCCATATTGATGTCCACAGTGGCTGTACCAGTTTACATCCCCCTAAATGGTGTAGAAGGGTTCCTTTTCCCCAGCAGCCTCACTAGCTAGGCAGAACCAATGTAGTAAAATAGTTATACTTCCAAAGCCTATCAAAATCCCCACAGCAATCCTCACAGAACTAGAGAAAACTATAAAAATTTCTGTGGAACCGAGGAGACCCAGAACTGTAGTTACTCATGCAGTTTTATTAAGCCCACTCCTCAGCTCCCCTGCCCCTGTGACATCATGCCCCACCCCAGCACCGTCTCTCGTGGCGCACATGCTTTCGTGGGTGACCTTCTGTCTGGCTGTGGGGGAAGTGTGAGCCATAGAAGTGCAGGGTCCTCAGAGTGGAGGGGGGCGAGGCATGTGTCAGTGACATTTGAGAGGCTGGTGGTACACTGTACACACCTAGTGGGGGCACCAGTGGTCCTCAGGTGCGTGGCGAGGCTGCTGCAGGGGACACACATGGTCACAGCCAGCCCCACAGAGCCCTAAGATTACTCCCCTCCACTGTCAAAGGCACCTTGAGAGTGTGGAACAGTTCATTAGCTCTGTAGAGCTCTGGCGAGCGCAGAGACCCCATGGCATTTAGCGGGTGTTCTCTTTTGAGACTAGACTTACTTAGTTGGTCCTTGACAGGCAAAGTATGTCCTGAGGGTGGCGGTTTGGATTCTGTGCACCTGGAAGACACCACTTGCTACAGACCCCGCCTCGAGCTGTAAATCTTGGTGGACAGCGAGGCACTTGTTTTGACAGTGATCACCGCACCTTTAAAGTCTATAATTCTGTATAGTCTTCCCCTCAAAGCTCCCTGGGAGCTGGTGCCAAGGCCTCCATGGGAAGGGAGGTGCTGCTGTGTGGCCGCTGCCGTGTGGCCGCTGCCCCGGCTCTGCTGCTCCCGCGTGAGCAGGACTTTCCCACTTAGCACTCACGGTGGCACGGGACAGCTGACCCCATCTTAAATAACGGAGATGTGACCCTTCCGTCCCACGTTCCTCCAGTCCAGACTTTGAAGGGCATTAAGGCAGATCCGAGGTATGTCAAGAAGCTCAAAGGAGGAGCAGTGACTTCTGCTTTTGTTTTCTAGTCACCCCTGCGTTCATGGAGGTCTTCAGATCCTGCCATGCTCATTTTAATGAGAAATGGGAATATGTTCTTTCAAACATCCCCAATTTTGAGGTTTCCTAAGAGCTCAGAGAACAGATATTTATTTATTTGCCTGTTTGTTTTATTTACTTATTTACTTCTTTATTTGACACAGGATCTCACCACACAGTCCAAGCTAGCCTCAAAGTTGAGATCCTGCTGCCTCGGCCTCCCAAGTACAAGGATGGCTGTGCACACCCAGCTCAGAGGAAGGAGAATTAGAAAGGGCTTTCATCTCCTTAAACACCACCTTCCAGGTACTCCCTGCTCGGCCATGGCACCTCTCACAGCATTTTCTGGGTCCAGCTCCTTTCCCTGCTGGCTTTATCTCAGAGCCTTCTTTCATGGAGCTCAGCTCAGACTTGCTGTGGACACTGAAAATCTATTTTCTTCCCCAAGGAAAATTAGCGGCCAGGACTCTTGGCCCTTTACCAACTCCCAGCAAACAACCCCCTGCCTTCCAGAGGGCGAACGAGCTCTGCATCCTGCAAGGGATGCTGCTTACCTCAGCTGCCAATGGCTTGTTGATGCTGTTCACAAATTTGTTCACATGTTCAAAGTGTTTCGTCATCTCTGTGGCCAAAACCATGTCAATAATGGCCTGGCGCAGTGTTCGATAATGGTTCCTAAAATAACCGAAGAGAAAGGGCCATGTTCCCACAGAGAACTGAGTTGGACTGCCGTGCTGCCATGTCACCAGGCGGCCCCCGGGCGGGACAGCGCGGGGCCAGAGTCAGGTGAGGGCAGCAGAGCCCTCCTCACGCGATGAGGAGGATGCAGGCACCTGTCATGGGGCAGGCACTTCGTACACTGAGTCCCTTCCCCTCCCGAGGGACGGGGCAAAGGCGATGACAGCCAGGGATGGTGGCCTGAGGTGCCCCCGCTGCAGTCCCCGACAGACTCCAGAGAGAACCAGCAGGCCTGCTGACACGGATGGCCGCTGAAGGGTCTCCTGCTAACAACCCTCAAAGCTCACAACGGACAGGAGCCGTAGTAGATGCAGCAAAAACCCAAATGACTGCCCGATTTCTACCGTTTTCTAACTTCAAGAGCCAGAACGGGAGCGGAATAAAACTGACTGTTGGGAAGACTTCTTTCTGCAAAAATTTAAAAACTCATCTTTGATACAGGTGAAACACCAGCTGGAGCTAGAAGAACTGGTCTCTATCTCCAGACTTCGGGAGACCGCTCTGAAGAGAGAGGAGCAGTCTGAGGCCCGGTGCGCCCTGTGCCCTCTCCCGGGATCTGCGCGGCCTGGCTGCAGCCCTACAGGACGCACCCAGCGCCTGACCGCAGGGCGCCTGACCGCGGGTGCTCTGGCCAGAAAGGCTGTGCCTCTGTGGCCGCATCTGGCCGGCTTTCAACTACTGGGCCTCTGTGGGGACCTCCCCATGAGGTGGGTTTTTAGTGGTCAAAACTTAACCTGGGAAAAGACCGGGAAGGATGCATTTTTCTTTGAGTTACATGAAAGACGGGATGTCATCCTGGGAAGGTAAAAATACCTGCTGGACCTATTAGTAATACAATCAATATGTACGTGCTGTGTGGTATACAAAACATCGTTATGACCTCACTGAAGACCAAGTGAGACTTTAGAAACACACAGGTGGCCTGAAAAGTAAAATCAAGCTTATGAGGGCCAGGTTATTATTTCATCATCTGACACAATGGTCCAACTATTATTTCCGGTTCCCCTAAGCTGAGTACACAGAGAAGCCAGGGAAAGCGGAGTTCCCCACCTGAGCACAGCAGCCTGAGCACAACCAACCTGTCAATGTTCTTGAAAATGTTGCACTTGGCGTCCTTGACTGTGAGCTGGAAGGCCAGGGCCGTGTGGTGACTCTCCAGCACCGCAGTGTCGTTGTAGAGCACAGCGAGCTCGCTGCCCGCGTTGCACAGGAACGAGTTGGTTCTGCCGGGGTGATCCACGTCGTGGACGGTGGCAGCGATCAGCGCAGCCACCTCATCCAGCTGGTCGAGGCTTCCCTGGGATGCGGGGAAGCGACACAAGCATGACCTCAGCACCGCAGAGCCCCGGGGGCGGCGGGTGGGGTGGGGGCGAGGGACGCGGGGTTTTACAGCCTTCTTTTGGCTTCTGGCCTTAGTTAAGGGGTGGCCCTTGCACATGCTGTGCTTTACTGGGCGTGTCATCTGGGGGGGATGGAAGTATGCGCTGCAGCCAGGCAGAGGCCAGACCCTCTCCAGAGCCCAGGCTCCCTCCCTGCAGAGCCGTGGCTAGATCTTCCCTGGCCGGTCTCACAATGGAAGGAAGGTGACCGCATCGGGGTACTACATGCGTCAGTGCCTCATCTTCTGGGTACTTCAGTGGCTGAGCGAGCTGTTGGGAGCAGGGTTGGAGGCAGTCCCTGGGGACGTGACTGAAAGGGTGTGTTCTTGTCCCTGGCTCCTTCCTGGCTGCCATGACAGGAGTGCCCTTCCCCCCTGTTCCCCTCTGCCATCCTCCTTCTGCCTTGAGCCAGCTGCCTGTGGACGGAAACGGTGAGCCAAAGTAAACCTGTCTTTAAGCTGAGGGCGGAGTTCCGTCCAACAACAGGGAGTGGCTGACCAGCAGGGAGAAGCCAGCCGCCTCTGGACTGCCTGCGGGGTGATACCGCTGTGACTCTTACTTTATTTGTCCACTTCTGAAAAGATTTTCATAGCGCCCATAGTAAAGAGCACAGATACAACAGCACCAGCCACACGATGGCAGAATGAAGAGGGCCCAAGGTAAAAGAAGATCAAGGGAGAGATTAATTTTACCAGGACCCAAGGCTAAGGTGGCACCTACAGCTCAGAACAAAATAAGCGCTGGGCTAGCAGGCAGCAAAGGCCAGAAGGGCAACTCTCTAAAGCTTTCATTATGCAAATAAATACAAACGCAACCATCTGGGGGATATGTGCTCTCAGCTTGCAGTTATCAAGGGGATACCGTGATATAAGACTGCTCCCGTGGGCAGGCGCGATGGAGGAGCTACATAACTAATTTTATTTAATATTAGTAGCCATGTGAGGCTATAAAGACCACCACAGATTGGTGGATACCACAGGGCCAGAGGGTGGCCAGGGACGGCTGCTGGAAGGCAGGGAGTGACCTCACAGAGAAGCAGGTCTTAGCCAAGCCACGTGTGGCGTGAGAGGGCACCCCAGGCAGAAGGAAGGGGCTTGGCCAAGGTCCTGCGAACAGCCACCCCCACAGAGTGCTCACTCAGAGCCAGACAGCGTCCCTGTGGCAGGGCCAGGATCGAGGGCCAGTCCCCTGCATGAGGCCTGAGGGTGGGTGTAAGCTGGTGTCTCTGCCTGCCGCTCAGGCTTGTGGGAGGCACAGCCTCTGTGAGGATGCTGCACCTGACGCTCAGCCCTTCCTGCGTGCCCACTGGCCCCAGCTGCAGTGCCGATTTAGGGTGCAGTGGGCTTGTCTGAAAGATCTGCCCCCCAGAAGGGAAGCAGTTCCAGTTGGAATCCTGGCCTCCCAGACCTGGGGAGAAGCCCTGAGCTGGCCCCAGTCCCCTTGACCAGGTCTCAGAGCACAGCAGATGCGACTTTCCAGCAGCTCAGCTGCAGCGGCAAGTGCCGGCCAGCAGGTGGCCCCACTGACACCACCGCAGCTTCCAAGCTCAGGACCCAGGGCTGCCCCTGCTCAGGCACCACCTTCTGTGCTCTTCCTGCCCTAGGCCTCCAGCTGCTGTTCCCGTCTGTCCCATGCTGCTGGGAGTCTTAGGCTGATCTACTTTTAAATGATTCAGGGAGGCAGATTCAGGTAAGGGGTAGAAAGCAGAGCGGAACTGCACGGGACCTGCCTTTCCTTCCAGCTCGCCCTGATGTACCCAAACTCCATGATAGCAGCACTTGCGCAAAGATACCGAGAACAGGCACGTCCTATGGGGGTAAGGCAAGGCGGGGAGGTGGGAGAAGAGCTGGCACACAGGACAGGCCTGCCTTCCTCGGGAGGAGCCCACGCCCAAGGCTCCTCGCAGCTCTCTGGCTCCCGAGCCCCTGGCGGGCTGGGGATGGTGAGCATCTCATCTCCAGTCCTCACCCTGCTTCGAGGACTGTGCTTGAGCAACTGGACGAGACTGAGCGCAGCTGCAGAACCTACAGAGGAGGCGAGGCCGGGAGAGCAGGCAGGGCCGGCGAATCCCCGGGTCCCGGGCAGGTCCGTCCGTGCCCTCTGTGTAGGAGCAGGGAAGGCTCGCTCTCAAGACTGCGGCAGGGACCTCTGTGCTTGGCACTCATGACCTCGGTGCTTCCCGCAGTTGGCCACGAGGGCTCAGCCGTGTGACACCTCTTGCAGGGAGATGCACAGCTGCACGCGGCGGAGGGCAGAGGGGCTGTGGCTCCTCCAGAAAGGCCCCACCGACACAGATTACTGTGGTTACATTTTTAAGGTCAAAGACAAAAATCTCTGCAAGCAGCATTCTGGGACCACATGCTCTGCTTCCTCACGGATGGAAGTGAGCATCGGGGCCAGCCTGGCAAGCCGAGAAGAAGCAGGTCTCCTCCAGTTTCGGGGCCGTTCCTGGGCCTCCCGCGGCCTCTCTTCTCCTTGCGCTCTCCCCAGCACCTGTCCAAGAAGCTTCTGGACTCAGGTCTGAAGCCAGGTCTTCGTGTGAGTTACTTTCCCGGCCCACTTCCTACTCTTTATCTGGAGACAGGGTCTTGCTGGAACCTGTGATCCTCAGCCTTCCAGAGTGCCGGGATGAAGGTGTGCACCACCATGCCCACCTCCCAGAAAACCATCTAGTCAGGCATTCAGGTTGATGTGAATTCCCCACGGGTATCCAAAGCTCAAGCTTTACTTCGGTGTGTAGCAAAGGAGTCTGAGGTGCTTGTGCACGTGACAGTCCTTGAGGGGCAGGGACAATGGGGTCCCCTGTCAGCTTTTCATGGTGGTCAGGGCTGCCCTGCCAACTGCTCTCCTGTGAGACAGATGGCACTGAACTCCGAATAGCCCGAGGTATGTGGGACTGTCACAGTTAGACAAAGGCCACTGGCACAGACATACACGCGCACATCCACAGGAAGCACCATTCACAGGTCAGTCAGCAGGACCGTTCCCATACGTGTCATTATCATCTGGATCATAACACACCAGGGCCAAATCCTGCTACTGAAACTTGACCTCAAGACCTAGTAACCATGTGCCAGAATAATTAACCCTTACATGCCTAGTGACCCATTTTTGGAATGCCCATAACAACAGAACATAATAAATTCCTTCTCTTCAAGTTCTTGTTCCTTGAAGTTTTCTAGGTAACATATATAAATTTCATGTAAAAATTTTAAAAATTGCAATCTTCAGCATAAATGGGTTAAGTTTGGTTGTGCAACCCAATTTCACAAAGCTCCTGGCAAAGATCTGGACCAGGCTCATGATCAGCCACACACAGAAAGGAGTCTCTGTGGGGGCATACATTAGTATTTTGAGCATTTGAAGGAGAGAAGAAAGGCCATGTCGTTACAACACTAAAATGACCAACTTGGCAGCCAAAGAACCACTGTTAAATTAGTTGCAAAATAGCTGTTGGCCTAATGTACTTAACAACGTTGAGTTCCTGGATCTCCAATCCAGGTGGGCAGCTGGATCACGGTATCGAAACCCTACCTTGACTCTTTCCTTTCCAAGGAAGAAAGCCGTGGCGTGCAGGACATCGGCAGCGTGGGTGGAGTTGTGATAGGCGTTGGAGGAGTGGTAGTTTGCTTCAATCACTTGGAGCCAGGCCCGAAGAGTGGCTTCAGAACAGTTTAAAAATTCACATACTCCGAACCGAGAGAAGACCTTTAAGCCCAAGTAAACCAGTGGCCTGCAAAAAAGGAAAACCAACCTAGGCTCATTGAATTCAGGGCCAGAAACTCTTTTCTTGGCTATGGTGGGGAATGGAGGCATTTTCCTGATTCTGTCACCCGCACAGGGGCATAAGAATGCCTCTTCCCGTATCAGGAGCATGCGGCACATCTCCTCAGTGACCTCTTAGCATAAGGGCCACAATATTTCTGGGTCACTTGTAAGTCACAGAACATGGTGGCCCTGACAGCCAAGAAAGGTCCATGGCAGTGCCTCTCTACCTCCCCTTCCACACAGGCCCTGAGACTGCTTCTCGCCTCCTGAACTGCAGGACACAAGGAACAGTGTGCGTGGCCTGTGCCGTCACAGCATTTAGAGTCATGCCACCTACCGACAGCGAAAGTGATTCCTATCCTGCACAGAGCAGCCCCTTTGGGCTGTGAGAGAGATCCTCTGCTCTCTAACCTTTCGCCTGCAAAAAGGAGTCAAGAAAAGGCTACTGTGTTCTCAAAGTCTCCTTTTCTTTTTTTAAAATTTGGACAGGGTCTTGCTATGTTGCCCAGGCTGGCCCCGAATTCCTGGGCTCGGGTGATCCTGCTGCCTCAGCCTTCCAAGTAGCTGGGACTACAGGTGACGCCAGTGCACCCTGCTCCAGGTTCACTTTGAGGATGGAGCTTCAGCGAGTCCGGGGATGAGCAAACGTAGCACTCTCGTCTCACCACACAAAGCCATGAGCCGGGCAGATGAGGACATCCAGGCTGTCCTCCCACTTCCCTCCCACGCGTACCCCCTCTCCACAGAGCAGCTCACACAGGACACGTCTCCCTCGGTCTCCAGGCGGGAAGGCCCTGAACGCAGCCCCCGGGCCCCCGGTCTGCGGCAGCAGTGTCACACACCTTTTGTGTGTGACTGCTTCCAACTCGAAGACATTGAAGTCCCAGCTTTCCTCGTTGTCGAGCAGCTGCGCGATACACGGGGGGACATCGCTGATGGTGACGGGCACTGCGAGGTGACTATGGCTCTGGTGCACATCTGAGCAAACACACGGTGGGAGGCTGGTTACCTGTGGGGCCTGAGGTCCCTGAGTACCTGCCACAGCTTTATGGCTGCCTCTGCGAAAACAAGTCTTGAACTTCTGCAGGAAGGAAGATTTTCACGTCAGAGGTCTTCTCTTACGTTATGGAACCTCACGATGCCCAAAGAGAAAAACAATCCAGCTTAGCTGTGTGTTTACGTGTACAGAGATTTACAGCGTTTCTTCTAACCGCTCAGAGAAGTAATTTAAATTAGGAGCCCTAGTTCCAAATACAGATCATAGAGCTGCATAGGGGTGAATACAATCAAGTAGAAATAACACCAACGCCTCCCCAGAGCAGTGATCACCAGGGGTGCCGGGGCTGGAGACAGGCTATCAGTAACAGGGCCAGATGGACACTTACTCTTTGTGAATACATACTCGTTTCCCGACAGTCTTCTCAAGCCATCCTGGAACAAAAAGAGATGCGGCTAAGAGCACACCTTATCTCCCATTCTCCTGTGCGCCGTCTTTGTTAGCCAAAGATCGGAACCCCGAAGGCCTACTTCATGCCGCGCCAAGCCGAGGCAGAGCTCAACGTTAACTTTGCACAGCAGCTGTGATCCAGGGCTCCGCTCCCTCCCACGGCTCCTGGTCCTGGGAGACGGAGAACTGGGAGCATGATGGACGTGACCGCACTCACGTCTCCCACCCGTGTGGCTTGGTTTTCACAGCACCTTTCTCTTCTGGCATTTTGAAGCCATGTGAGTGAAGTCACAGAAGCGATCTTGCATTGGATCCATGTAGTTCTGATGTACCCGAGGGCCTGCTTAGGGACCCTGTTATTCTTACATTCTCACGGACCACATTTGGGAGACAGTCTTTGAAAAGTTGGGCTCATTTTTCACTGGTATCTAAGTGAGTGTTTTCTAACTACTTTTTCTTTGTTATGTGTTTGGAAGAATGAGCACTGCTGCTAACTTTTTAGAGGAAAGTTCCCGGATCTGAGGAATCTGGAGAGGCCCAGTGAGGGTGAGAGTGGACAGAATCTGATATTCTATTTCTTCACTCCCGAACTTGAGCCCATCTGCAAATGCTCCTGAATCTGGTTCCTTGCCTCTTCTATCCCTGATCTCATTATTTTGGTCTTTATTTAAAAGTCACCTGGGTTTGCTGCCAGCCCCAGGCAGCGTGCGCTAAGGTTTAACGCAGCATCACCCAGTGAAGGCCTCCCCGAAGTCTCAGCTCTTTAGGCCGAGTTTAGTCTTTAAAGAGAAATAAGCAGATCAGTATCCACAGCCACAGCTGTCCTGCTTCTAAGGCAGGCATGGATGTCCCTGTTTTCTCCTTGCTTTCATCCCTCCACTGCCCAAAGCCAAGCAAGAATGAGAGGGAAGCCTATGTCGGTCCCTCCTGGCATTACCCAGACAGGAAACTCAAGCAGGTGCGGCAGTGGACAGCTTCTACCTGGGCCCATTTGCGGGTGCGCGCTGGCTGCTGGCATGCTAGCGCCTTCCTGGTCCTCTCCAGAGGCTGAAGTCTACACCAAACTGAAAGCGGCAACTGGAGACCAGCCCAGGGGCAGGGAAGGGACAGAAAGCCCTTGAGGCAGGGCTGGATGGAAACTGTCAGCCTAAAACTCCTGGAGATAATTCTTGGGCTCGCTCTCCTAAAACACCCTTCCAGGTTCAGCTTCTGCTGAGAGGCCCAAATGAATAGTGAAAATTTTCTTCTTTTGCCTCCCTCAAGGAGACGTGATGACTAAAGCCTAACAGACCTCAGCCACACCCGAGAGCAGGCTGACTCCTCGGCTGCCACATGGATGGGGTGGCCCCTGCCGCCTCCCCACGGAGCCAGGACCACTCCACTCTGCGCGATCTGACAACAGATGTAAAGATTTAAAGACCAGATTTGGTAGCAAAGGTTTGGGGAGCTGCTGCGGCGTAAGCATAGACCCTTCCATTCCACACAACTAGGCCTGCTCGTACATTCATTCCGGGGCTGGCCCTGGATGCTCAAATCTGAGGGCTCTCGGCTCCTGTACCCTTGAGCACATCCTCCTGGCTACCTTAAATCAGACTGAGCTACTTAGAACACCAGACACAGTGTAAATGCTGTGGAAGCTGCTGCTGTATTGCCTAGGGAAGGACAACGGGAACGGTCTGTACATGCTCAGTACAGGCACAGGTGTGGATTTTTTCGGTGTTCTCAGTCTGTGGTTGGCTGAATCCACAGATGAGGAACCTGGGAACGCAGAGGCCAACTGAAGCCCCAGGAAGCAGAGCTGTGACCCCCCCGCCCAATGCTATCATCGGGATCAAGGGGAAGCACCAGGAGACAAGGCCTGTGTAACCTCGTCCCGCATCCGTGGCCCTCAGCTGCCTGCCTATCTCCTTACTGTAAGGGGGCTCGGAAAGGCTGGCCCCACAGCCACGGTCAGCCTGCCTGGTGGACAGATGGCAAGATGCCTTGAGAGCCACCGTCCATGGCACACAGGAGCTCAGGCGGCTGCGCCTGGTTATCAGTCCTGCTGCTGGCTACCCAGCAGTATTTCTGCAGCTGCAGGCAAGCACCGCAGGTTAGAAGGACTCGCGGGCCCTGGACTTGGGCCCCTGCACTTCCGGTGCCCTCTGCACTCACAGTCATCAGGCCTCCAACCAGGTCACTGGTGTGCGGGTCTTCATCTTTGGTTCCCAGCTGAGGAGAGTAGAGCTCTGTGGTTCGTAAAATTTCCAGAACTCTGTCCAAAGCTTCTGCAACTGTGACTGGGCTGTTTTCCTGGGCCGCGTTGATTATATTTATAACCTAAGGAAGAGAGAAGAAATAAAGCAGAGGGTTTTATAGGGTCACATGTGCCTGGGGCCCAGGAGAAAGCAGGGGATGACACCATACTGTCCAAGAGCAGCATCCCTGCTGAGGCCTGCTGTGCACCTGCGCTGCCCCGTATCCTCCCCTCAGGACCGAGCTGTTGGTCTCCTGGAGAGCAGAGCTCCTCAGAGAGGCTGGGCCTCTCTCCCCCCGTGGGCCGTCAGAAACGGCCTTTCCTTCCCATGTCAGGACACGCGTGCCCCCAGGATGCTCAGCACCTGCCCTGGCCCCTGGGCCACAGACCTGCAGATCTGCCCGCCTGCCTGACACAGCAACTGCACATCCTGCGTGTCTGAAACTGAAGTCGCAGTTGTTGTTCCTCTTCCCTCCGATGTACACCCAGGTCCAGCTGACGTGAGCACTAACATTCCCTCTCTACCCACTTCTCCCTAGTATCACAGCCTCAGGCCTAGGCTCAGCTGACACAGAGTCTTGCCAAGAACCCCTGCAAAGCTCCAAGCTAGCCTGCTCACTGTTCTGCTCTCCCGATCTGACCCCTGCACAGCCGCTGGGCGTCCTTGCCGGTCACACGCCTGACCACGTCCGCCTGACCATGTCCACCCGACCCCACCTCCATGAACCCCTGCACGCCCTGAGGGACAGAGCGTCCCGGGCTGGTGTTGTCGCACCTTGGACGCTCACCCGACCCCTCGCTGCCCAGCTCCAGCTCCGACTCCCTTCCAGGCATCCGGGAGCCCTTCTGTGCTTTCTCCTTGCAGGCCCTGCCCCTGCTGGGACTCTCACACACCACGGCCTCCTCAGGCTTCCTCCAAGGGCAGCCTCCCCTGAGCCCTGCACCCCTCGCGCCCCTTGTACCCCTCGCACCTCCCCTCATCTCCCACAGCGCCCTGCATGCCCCGCCCGGCACCTGCTCTCATTTATAACGACATGCATTCGTGCTGCATCTGTGCTCATTTAACACCTGTTTCTCCCACTGGCTGGTGGGCTTCAGATATCAACAGACTCCACCTCTAGCCCGGAGCCGGGGGCTGGGGCCCTGACTGTGCAGTAGGTGGCAGCTGCCACTCACCTTCGTGATGGGCGCCTCGATGGTCATGGAGTGGATCCTTGCCATAGATGGGTAGCGACGGTTCTGCAGGCTCGGGGCTGGAGAGCAGGCAGGAAAGACGTCTCGATCTGGTGGCTCAGCCTAGTGGCTCAGCCTAGTGCTGCTAGGAGGTCCCTGCATGGGCGTGGGGACAGGATTCTCCCAGGACTACACCCGCCTCCAGAAACACAAACAGAAACAAACCCAAGGCGCTCACCTGCCTTTTACTCCTAGAAGGTGGGCAGCTCAGTCTACCCTGCCCACGTGTGGAAAGGTGGTCTGGCCGTGGACTTTGGTGGCCATGGACTGGAAATTTCAGGGGCTGATGGGACCTGGGTCCCCTTTCCCACAGGTCCCTAAAGCCCACAGGACAGTTCCAGACCTTCCGCTCCAAAGCTGGGGCATGGGACAGGTTAAGGGAGCCGTGTAGCAGGGAGGTGAGGTTCACGGTCACAGTGGGGGCAGAAGGGAAGCCTCTCTCCGTGGGCTGGGGCAGTGCTGCCTCTAGGTTTGTAACACCAGAGCCCTTGGTGGGTCTAGCTCTAATCTGCGGACACTTTCACTTAACAACAACTACATTCCTGAAGAAATAATCCTTACGGATGGTTTAAAATGGAGAAGGTAGAGGCTTTCACTGAAAAGCACTGTTCCCAGCTTCCCAGCTCCTGGGCAGGAAGGAAGAGTGGCAGCCACATCCCAGAGACAGCATCAGAGTGGCCTGCTCCGGCCAGCGTGGCCGCCACCACAGCCTGGCCTGTGTGCTGCCTGTCACTGGGACCCGGTTCCAGATGGGGCTGGCCCAGCTCAGACGCCTGTGTGCATCTGCTGGCCGTCTGTGCTCTGTCTGACGTGCCCTCAGCCTAGCCCAGGAGGCTGCCCCCACAGTGTCCCCTCACCTTCGGGCCATGCCAGCTCACCTGTCTCACTCTCTGCACTGTGTCCCTGTCCTCATGATTTCAGCTCTCTCCCTTGTTCTCAGGCTCCCACTGTGACCAGAAAGCCAGGAAGCCCTCCACTAGACCATCCTATTCATTCCTTTAAGATAGCGCCTCCTTTCTGTCACAGACACTGGCTGTTCCCTCCTTGTGCCTGCACAGCCTTGCCTTCCAGTTGCAGACATGAACCAAATGAGGGCTGTCGAGGCCCTGCCTAACAGGGCGAGGCCCTGGGTTCCACTCCAGCGCTGCAAAATGAAAGCGCCCCAAATGCACGAGTGTAGCACAGCAGCCTCTCAGCTCTGGGACGCTGGTTCTCAGCCTGCTCTCTACTGCAACCTCCTCCTCTCAGTTCACGGGACTCTACTCGCCCGGCTCACCAGCCGTGTCCTTGACCAGACCTGTTTCCTCAGCCTGCGCCACCCAGGGTGCTGTCAGGAGAGGGCACCCACCCCTGCCCCGGCTTCATCTCCACCTCCAGGCCCCCAAGTGTGCACTTCCCACCCCTTCAGCTTCCCAGGCATCACCAAAAACTAAAACTCACCACCTTCCCTGGGGCCCCACCCCCGCCACGCTTGGAGACTCATTTCTGTAAATATCACAATTTCCCAGGCACTACAGAGTACCATTTCAGAATTGCCTTCGACTTTTCCAGCTCCCCACAAATCCGGCTGGTTACTTAGGCCGGATTCACTAAACTCAAGGCATGTTTTGCTAAATTCTGCCTTGCGGGGCTGAAATGTTTTGCTAAATTCTGACTCGTTGTTTTTAAGTTTCATTAAGGGAGATGAATGCGGCAGGTACAGTGACAAACGGCTGCGCGCCGGCTCGCGGCACAGGACGCCCAGCACTGAGCGTGGCGATGGCCAGACTGCTCGGGGGGCCTCGGCGCCCAGCACGGCTCGGGCCACGAAGCGAAAGGCCTGGAGGCCTCCAGAGTGAGGCTGAGCACTGCCGAAGGCACTGACCCTTTTAACAACTAAAACCTTTCGGTTTACTGGCGAGGCCAGTGCAGCTGAAACCTTCTCCGTGGAGTTTATATGCTGACCAAGTTTTGAACAAATCCGCTGTCATTTTCTACCTTTCAAAAGGTCAAAGCTATCAGAAGCGCCTCTCACCATCGCTGCCCCGGGACGATATGGACTTCACATCGATGGACTCCTTCCTCCTGTTCTTGTGTCGGAGGGAGTGAAGCTCTGGGTTTCAGATCAGAAACGGGTGGTTAGTCAGCAGCACATTTCGTACTTTTTCCTTGTTTTTGAAGAAAACAAGGTTACTTTTTAAGCACTACAAAACAGTTTAAAAACTACTAAGTCCCTTTCTCTTCAAATCATCAAGACACAGAATTACAGTCATATTAGTAGGCAAACGATGCCATTTTGAATCCGGTGCTGCACTGCATCATGGGAATGGAGTTTGTAGTCAAGGGTTATTTTGTTCCAGGAGTCAAATATCATGAAAATAAACACTAACATTTGTAGCGGTTGGTCGTAATAAGAACAACATGTTCAACTGGATGGGGAAGGCTCATGGGACTATCTGAGGCAACCAAATACTGATGAAACCCACAGATATTTTGCATCATTTGAGACACATTCAGACCAGTTTGGGGCAGCTCTGAAAAGTCAGATCTAGATGGTCTCTAGGTTCCCTAAGGATGCATTTCACCAAATGGGGCCCAGAGAGGGGAGCAGTTTTATTTTACCAATAATTTCCAAAGGCTAAGCTCTCACCCTCGTCCTTATTTTTTGAGGAAGGACAAGAAAGTGCTTTAAAATGCTGCATAAGTATTTGAGGATCTGAACTTAACACTGCAAAAGCTTATGGCACCAGTGAGCACCAAGGTATAAATCTGTCGAGGCAGCAGGGTTAGCTTTCAGAATATGCATTTCCAGGGCCTTGGCCTCAGGTGGGTAACTTGTGAGCAAGGGCCTCAGAACAGCGTCTGCCACCCAGTAAACAAGCAGTACAATGGAGTGTCACTTAGCGTGATCACATCCACATGGCATCTGTGGCAGATCGAGCACACCCATGTACTGTGTGTGTCTTACACACACACTAGATGCCAGCCTATGCTCTATTTGCTGTTTCTACTTCATAGTATGTCTTAGATACTTTCCTAGACCACTTTTTATAACCATGTGACTATCTTAAAAAAATTCAACAACAAAATGGTTAATAACTAAACCTGAATTATATTTATACAGCAGGAAGGAAAGGAAGAACTATAATAAAATTGATCTGAAGAGCACAGCCACATAGCCTTGTCTTAATATCAAACTAGTTACTATTCCTGGGCCTAATATTCGTCTTCCAGACCTTGCCTTAATTTTCCTACCCTGGATATCAGTTTCTGTATTTCTTTATCAAGACCTCTAGAGATAGCAGTGATTGAAGAAATGTTACCAGGGTCCTAAGGGAGATTTTAAACCCTGAGAAGTTGACTTGCTTCTCATAAGACACTTGTTTTTGGCCTATGCAGGGAATTAATAATCATATATATTCTTAACATTTACTTGTTTACCAAATAATACACTACATTTAACCTTAATCTTGAATGTTTAAAAATCAAAAATTCTTCAAAATGTAGGTCCTAAATAAAACTAAAAGTAGAGAATTTCGTTTCAAGGCTGTGATCCAGGCTGGTTGACTGAATTCTAAATCATTCACTGGCATTTATTCAAGGAGGAGAATATTTATTCTTCTTGATTTTACCTCAGAATTAAGAGAACCTATCGCAATTGAAATGACTGAAATTTTGGAGGAGTTATTCTTCAATAAAGGCTGAAGCAAGGACATTTAAATCAAAGAATTGATTATTCATTCTTAGCAGATGCCTGTAGAATGAATTAAAAATTTTAAATCAGAAAAAAGGAAAAAGGTGATTTGAAGAGCTGCACTTAGTGTCAAAAAAAGGGATACTGTATCAATAAAAAACATGCTGCCACTGCCCAGGCACCTACTACGTGCTCCGCATTGTGCCGCTGCCTCACCAGCTCAGACCTGGAGGTCACTTGAGATCTGCGCAGCTTGGGGAAGAGACGCGCAGAGCTGTGGCGACTCTGCCCACGCCTTTCTGCTCAGCGCTCAGCTCGGCTCTGCACCTTCTCTGTGGGGTCAGCCCCTCAGACCCCCAGTTCTCACGGCAGCCCGGCTGAGCAGACACAGGGGCTACACAACCGTGGCCTCTGCCAGCGCCGACCTCAAACACAAGTTACGCACACTGAGGCCAAAGAGGTGCGCCTGCGCCGAAACCTTGCTGACCGGAACGCGTCCACAGCCACCCTCGGCCTGAAGCACAGCGCAGGCATTTTGGGCTTCGTTTTCCCTGTCGCTGTGTACTTTAAATGTAACAATTACCTCCTTTAATAATTACAAAAATTCTGAAAGCTACGAAGTGCTATCTACATTTTACTGATAGGGAATCTAAACTCGGAGAGGTTATGCAAGTAACCCAATGTCAAAGAGCTAAAAAGTGGTGGGACCGATTTCTCCCAAAAGTTCGTGTCAGTGCTCAATGCTCCGTACTTACTGCCAGGCAATGCTGGGTACTACAACGGACATGAAAGGCTCACTACTCTTTTTGGTGCACAGAAGCTTGTCAGTTGGTTAAAACAATACCCTCATTCTAAGTATTTAAGAAATTAAAACATCTGCAGGAGAGAACGTGTACCTGTATGGGTAGTGCTACCTGTCACTCAAGGCTGTTCTCACCTCGAACGCTTTTTGGAAAAGGAAAGAAATGTATCTCACTGGCAAAGGCCAGCTACTGCTAGATACTACAGACGCTATCTTCCTTAGTCCTCATTAACATCAAGATGAGCACTGTTAACTCATTTTATAAATGAAGACAAGGAAGGCTGGAAAGCATGAATGAACTCTTTCTGAGGGGGCTAACTATGGTCATTCTAGAATCAAGGAGAGGGACGAAATAATCACCCCAGGGTTTGACTTCAGGCACCAATAGGACACAGAACGGCTGCTGCAATCCTCACAAGGTGGAGAATAGTAACTCTTTAGTAGCAGACTGATTTCTTTCCTCTAATGGTCAGATAATTCTTGGGACTTCCACATGTTGACGTCATCATGTCTAACCCTGCATTTATGGACGAGGCATCCAAGATTCAGCAAGAATCCCGCCCAAGAGCCAAGACAGTGAGCGGGAGCTGAACTGCAGCTCAGCACCCTGCCTCCCTGCAAGACGCAACTGGCTACACTACCATCATATTCTCACACTGTTCAGCCAACCAGCGTCTCCCCGAGACTTTGGGGCCATTCTCTTTTGGATTTATCTGCTCCACCTGATCTCTAGCCGAGAAAAGAAATGAAGACGGGGGAGGCATTCAATAAATAAGGTTGTTATAGATGTAAGGAATTTTCTAGGGATTCCTGCTTTTGCTCAGGCCCTCTGACCTTCTGATATTAGCACTTAGATTCTGGCAATCCAGATACTGGGTGAAAGTCAACCTAACCTCCTTCGGAGCCACTGATAGACTTACACCCACAACTGCCCCTCCGCACATCAGAGTTAAGTGGAAGTGTTCTCACCTGTCTGAGAATTGTCTCCGGAATCACGGTGAATCTTGTGCATCTAAAGTTGTTCAGAGATTTGGTGAAAAAAGAGAGAGATTTTAAATATGACATTTGCTAAATTTCTTAAACAATTTAGTTAAAAAGCTCTGAGGACTTGAAGAAAGCAAGAAATTGCACAGAGAGCAGAGCAGATGAGAGATGAACAGGAAGTGACGGGAAGCAAATGCTCTGCCACGTTCAGACCTCCAAGCCGCTGAGCGTAAGAGCAGGAAGACCCGAGGGACACTTTCTAAGCAGCACATCTACATCTGCAGAAATGCAGAAAGACAAAAGCTATAGCTAAATTTAAAATTGTGTAAGGCAGATCTATAGCATGTTTTACACACGTCATAAAATTTTGCTGTAATATAAAATAAATTGAATTGAAACCTAGGGCTTTTAAATACCTTCCTAAAAAGTTCTTTACATGCTCAATTATAGTCAATTTACAAAATGTTGTTCACAATGAGATCTAAAGACACTGTTTTGCACCTAGTTCTTTCTCACTGGCAGATATTTTTTGTGTGTTAGTGACTTTTTGCTAATGCACAAAATGAAGTCATCAACAAAAAGCAATGTTTTCCTGGGGTTTTGAATTTCTTTTGTTCTACCACACTTATGATCACAATGCTTCCCTTCCAATCCACAGCTCCCTTCCATCCCGAGTTCAGATCACTAAACCTCTGCAACCACTCGATGAGGGGTGGGACTGACTTGGAAATAGACAGAGGAGTGCGGAACTGTCAGGTATGGCTCAGCAACACCGTCGGTGATGGGCAGAAACCTTACATGGATCAGACCCAGGCAAGATGTCCCAGCCTGGTGGAACCACTCAAAGAGCCTTAGAGAACAGAGGGCTAAAATGAGGTTTTTTATGAACTCTGTTGCATGGTCCCCTTCACATAATCACGGAAAGTTTCAGGACCTGCGGGTGTGATGCCTTGGTCAGAATGCCACTACAGGGTGCTGACTCATTTGCCCCATAATTATGGCACTTTTTGCTACAAAGCAACTAAATTCAGTGTGAATTTTTATACTGTACCCAAGGAATAAAAGTTTTGTTTTGTGTTTGCAATTGGCTGCAGCTCAAAAGCAAGTGGTCTTTTGCATGCTTAGCTTTGCTTTCTGAATGAAAATACACTTTTCCTTTGGGAGCAAGGCCTACAGCTTCCCACATTACACGAGAACAAAAAGCCACCTTTTCTCATCTTCCCCAGCCCATGTGGACAGCTGCAGCCCTGCAGTGGAGGAAAGAGCGCCATCCCCTGGAAGGGCAGGAGGTTAAGGCTGTACAGGTTCTGTGACTTCCCTTTGTCACACAGCAGAGCCCAGGACCAAGCTTGGTCCCTCCGGCTCTACAACTGGCTGCTCTTTGTCACACTGCTTTCTCTGGAGATGCCCAGAGCTGTCACAGGCCCGGGTTTGTTAACCAGGGGTCTAAGGAACGAGCTTAGACCCCACTACAAGGCATCCATTCATGCAACAGAACTTCCCTTCAATTCTGGGGTCGAATTTTTCTTATCAAATGGCTTAGTCACAGGCATGGTAAAGAGATCAGAATTCACCGTGCTTGCGGCAGTTGCCCTCTGTAGTATGATTTTTGTTTTTCCTTTTTAAAAGCTCAGGATATGTGCAGCAGTGACAAGCATGTGACACCGGTCCTGTCCATGTCACGGTTCCTGCGGTGTTGATCCTTTTGTCAGCCTACACAGAGCTCAAAGCAGGGTTTCTCAGCAGCTTACAGCTTATTTTTTGGAGGGAAAAAAATCATAATTTTAAGCCTTTAATTATTTAAAACACGGTAGGTTGCCACACATTTTGCTATCCTTGTGCTAGACACTTTATTTACAAAACCTGATTACATTTAACTCTTAAGAGCCACTACTGGCTCTGCATTTCTGTGTATTCACAGCCAGATACATCATTTTGGGATCATTCATTTCTTAAAGAATAAGCACTTAAAATCATATTTCCTCTCCATGCTCAACAGAACGTCTAATGCTAAAGGAACTATGTCAAGCATGAAGGGTATCTTGAACCCTCACACTTTGTTGACAGGAATATAAATTTGTACAACCTCTTTGAAAAAAGGTCTGCTGGTTCCTTGGCAATTTAAATGTATACCTACCTCATGAACCAACAGTTCTACCCTAAGTGTTTATCCAAGGTAAACAAAAGCATTTGTTCCAGCACAACCACTGTTAATGTGCTATTACCATGTTTTGAAATTCTGTGTCATTGTTATTGTTCTTTCTGCTGTTTTGTTTATGTTTATTTATTTGTTTTTGTTATTTTGGGTTTTTTTAAATGAAAAAATTTATATGTATATATAAGGATAGCTGGAATAGGTGTATTGCTGATGTCTGTGGTTTATTGAAAGGAACAGTCAATGCTTAAAATTTTCTTTTTTCTTGACCAATTTTACACGCTTGAATTTGGTAATCAGAATGACTGATCTGAAAACAATTTGCAGTATAAGAGCCATTGTTGAACTCCTACCATCTTGTATGGTGAAGCTCTACATCATTTCCAATTTTTTTTTTTTAATTGTTACGGTCTTTGATTGTTTGATCAATCTTACATTCTTATGTCTGGTGGACTGAGCAACTTTGTTGAAGACAATAGTATGTAAAGCAGCAACCGTGGTTAAGTCCTATCATTTTGTTTTGAGGTTGTGTATCATTTTTGTTGTTTTGATTTTGTCTTCATTGTTGTTTTGTTAGTTTTTTTAATTTTTAAAATTAAAAAAAAGTGTTTGCTCACAGAAAGAAAGCAGCTGGGAGCTGGGAACAGCCCAGGGGTCCTTTACCAGAAAAAGCTTGAGGGTTTGGGGGTGCAGATTAATGTGATAGAGATTACTAATACAACACAGAGGCATCCCCAAAACACTAAATGAGTGTAAGCGCCAAAGCTCTGCCCAGCCTATGGTTAAACAGCTCCGAGGAGTGGCTCCTCCTGTGGGCAGGGGACTGGGTGGGGGCAGGGACAGGCTGCACAGGGTTGGAGGGGACTTCCGGAGGGGAAGGCTTGCTATCTGGACGGCATCAGAGTACAGAGTGAGATGTACTTGTCAGAACTCAACGGAGACAATCCTTAAGACTCGCACATTAGCATGTTTTGCTTCTACTTTAAAACTCCCTAAACAAATATTTTAAGCTCCCATTAATGATATGGATACTGATACAGCAAGGGGCCGGATGAACTGGTGCTAGCAACTTTTTTTATACGTTAAAGAGAATAGTAAAAAAAAGAATAATAACAAAATACCAACATCACAGACAAAAATAAAACAAAGTAAAAACATTAAAAATGATACAGGGTTTCAAAACAAAATGATAGGAATTAACAGTGGTTGTTATATTACATACTGTTATCTTCAACGACGTTGCTCAGATTACCAAATGTAAGAATGCAAGATTGATCAAGCCATTAGAGAGAATGAACAAACAGCAATTTTTGACAGTTGGCAATCTACCACAAAACAGGAGGGATGGTGCAGACACAGGTGGAAAGTGGGTCAAGTAAAATGCTAATTGTAGAGCCACGGAAGTGGGTACATGGGTGTTCACTTACATTCCTCCAGCTATCCTGTATGTTTATAACTTTTCATAAGAGAATGTATGTGTTCAGCTGAGTGTACTGAAGTCTGAGGTGCCATTTCAAGACGTGTGGAGTCAACAAGATGAAGGAAACCGAGCCCAGCCTAACACCTGAGAGGAAGCCCTGTCACGTTCCTGGACACCCGGCCTCGAGCCTGGGCATTGCGGGTGGCTGCGCCACGTCAGACCAGAGCTAGGGAACTGTGTGCGGCAGCCGCCACACTAAGACGTGTAATCATCTCCATGGTAACTGCTCAAAATACAGATCTGTATTCATTTGACGGGCTGATTTTATGAATCATGGGGGAATTGTCAATGAACTTAAATGCTGGGAGAAAAACCTTGAGACATAATGACATGAAAATATCTCTCTTGATGTGTTTAAATCAACCTTTTAAAAATATATCACAAGACACTTCGGCAGTTAAAATGAGGCCAGGATCAGTACAACAGCAAGCCAGGAAACAACGCTGGACACCTCCCTCGGTATGCAGCTCAGTCGCCTCCGGAGGTGAACGGCAGCTGGCAGCAATGTCTCAGTACTTCTGTCTTTAGGGAATGACAATCAGTACCTCCACACACGCACAACGCATGCTGACCATCCTCCAACCCTGTGACGTGCCCTCTAAACTCCCGTAGGATGCCCTGCCCCCCACCAGCAGGACGCAGGGGACTGACGGGTCAACTTGCATCTGAACTATGTAAAACTCCACTTCCCTTTGCCCTTAGGGACAACTCTCTACGGCAATGCGGCTGGGAGGCGCTGGCCAGGGCTCTTAGCTGCAGGCCATGGTGGCCTCCTACCCATCCCTGTAATTCTCTCATGCTCTTTGTGACCTCAGAGCCTTTGCACATGCAGCTCCTCTACTCTGGAAACTTCCCAATCCTCTCTCTTTCCTTTACTTATTTGTCCTCCAGAAGTGATTTCCACAAGGAAGCCATCCGGGATTTTCCTATTTTAGCCCCTTCTGTCTGAAGTCAAACCCTTCTATCGTGTGCGCTCAATGTACTTTTATTGCATTTTCACAGTTCATAACTTTGTACTTACTTGACTAATACTCATTCCGCTGCCAAACTGTCCATCCCCTCCAGAGAGAGGTTATGTCTACTTTGACTACCTCTGTATACCAACACATTGCCTGGCATACAGAAGCCAAGAAGCAGACCACGAATCCACAGGAGACGGACAGCCAGGCTCTACCTTACAGCTGCGGTGGAGACACCGTTATTATTGACTTGTCCATCCCGTCGGTCTTTGATTATACTTGCATTTCTAAACACATAATTCTAAGCAAAATTAAATAAATTTTCATCTAATGGGATTTTAAAAACGGCAACACAGAAGTGACAGAGCACATCCTGATGCTCTGACAGTGTCCATATGCTAAGAGGAGAGTTGTGGTGAGGAGAAATGGAGGCC